ATATATATGATTTATAGGGTCGGAAATGATTCCTTCACTTGGTTGGGCTTAAATAACTTAAAAAAAATAGGTAATAGTACGTTTTTAAGCTGTGGAATATGTTACTATTTTATTATATAGAATTCCAATAGTATTATAAGGGAATACATATCAAGTATATATAAAATACACTTTAATTTAAAGTAAATACAACCATTAAACACCTTCAGTTCTACTGACAAGAAAGTATAGGCAAAATATATCGGAAATATATGATATTTTTCTGTACAATGCTGGGAGTTTCTCGCTCTGCAGATGAAAAGAAAGGCAGACAGATCGCTTTTGGTAACCTCAGAGGCCGGCTGCTGCAGGGTAACATGGAAATAGAGATGGAAAAGCGCCCAAAAAAAAAAAAAAAGCACAAAAATATCTTAATGATGGCGCGGTGCCCCGTTGAGGAATTTCAGCTGACGAATGTTTATGATAAATGGCTCAACACACTCCTCCTTCCCCCCCTACCCATCCATTGACAAGCTTGTTACGTGGAAAACCAGGGGGGATTCCCCCCACACCAATCCCCACCAATCCTCCTCCTCCTCCCTCCTCCATTGCGCAAAAGCCAAATTGAAATTCCAAGATCAGAATCAGATCGAAGGGAGACAGAGACCGACCGGAGAGGAGGGACAAGACAACAAATTATGGCAACGCACCAGGAAAACAAAGGCAGCAAAGACGGCGCAAAAAATTTAATGCAATGAAAATCAAATAAATTGCAATGAAAAAGCCAAAGCCACCACCAGTAACAGCAACAGAAACAACAATGACAACGATAGCAATCACTGAACATGGTGGGTCCCAGCAAAGACTTCAACTCCAACTCCGACGAGGAGGAGGAGGAGAAGGAGAAGGAGAAGGGCTGGAGCCCCAGACAAGTATTTGAAAAATTTATAATAGGCATGCAAATGAGGGGGATCGAAGGAGGCGGGCTGCCCAGGGGGATAGGATTCGTTGTTAACCGAAAAAACAGGAACAGCGAACCCAAAAACCAAGGCAAGAAACAAAACCGAAATGCAAACCGAGTGCACCAATTGAACGATATTCAAAACTGGACTGAAAGTGGTGAGGGAGAGCCAGAGCCAGAGGTAGAGCCACCCATCCAAGCCCACTTGGAGCACCTTTCCCAATCCTGAACCCGCCAGATTCCTCCCGGAATTCCCGCCTCCTCGAAAACAGGCAAACGCATAAATTTTTTGGAGCAAGCCTGATCAACTCTCTGGGGGTCTGCAATACCCTACAATTTATGTATTTACAAACAAGGGGAATATATAAATCTATGTACCCTAAAGTTTATTTTAAACTAGAGAATGTATAGTACTATAGTGCATATATATTTATTTAAAATCTAGACAACCTTATTTTATAAAGATTTATTTCTTTTTCGATTTATTACAATGTAGATATTCATTTACAAACTAAAGAATATATGTATCTATATGTATATACTATAATATATTTAAAAATCAAGACAATCTCATTAAGAGAATAGTTTCCTTTATATAGAAATCAATGCAAATTTGTTGACATTTTTTCAATTCAATTATTTGCATTCTAGTCACGCCAGTCACAGTCCAGAGATTTGTTTCTAATCAAGCAACTATATAAAGACACAATATTGATATAATATTATATAAATTCCTGGAGAATTTCAAAGTAATATAAGTCAAGTTAAGACCCCAGACTTATAGGGAGCCTTTGTGTTAGTTTTTAACTTATTCAAAAGTCAACAAAGGCCTTATTCTGTGTGGTTTATCTTGTATATATTTTGGCTTATTTTTCAGGGTATTTAAGTTGTTGGTTTCCTACTGTCGTTATTTTTATATATATGTTTTTCTTGATTTTTTCTTCTGTTGCATTTTGCATTTTGCCAGAATGGCGCGTGTTTGCCATGAATGTGAAATGTGAATGTGAATGTGAAATCAGATGTCGATGGCTTTCACCCGCGGAATGCGAGCACCGGGAAAAATTAGCTCAAATGTCGTTGTTGTAATAATAGTAATAATAATGACGAGGGAAAAAAGGGAGGAAAATAGGGAAAAATCTGCAGCAAGTAGAGGAGGAGGGGGTTATAAGAGGGAGGCTTTAATTATGACAAAAGTAAGAGGCAAAGGCTGCAACAGCAATCTGCAACAGTTGCACATCTGTGAGAACGAGCGGGCTTCGCACGCCCACGGAAAAGCCGAGAGAAAAACTCAAGAAAAACTCACAAACACACACACCACACACACACACGACACTCTTAGCCAGAAGTCGGTCGGATATGTTGGTGTCAAATGAAAAAAGCTTCTCTGTCATTTATGCTGCCACTGTTTGCAGTTGCTGCCACTGCAGTTGCCACTATTTCTAATTCGCTGCCAAGTGAGTCATCATCACAGAGGAGGCAACACTTGGCTGACCAGGCAACATGTGGCTAAAAAAGGAGCCACAAAAAAAGCGTCTTTCGATGCGAAATATGATATTTTTCGGTTCCCCAAGCAAAAGCAAAAGCAAATCAAATAAGAACAGAATACAGATTCAAGTCCAAAGGTTTAGCTCTTGGAAGAGCAACAAACACATCCTGATTTATGGAGAACAAAACCAACTATTATAAAACCATTGAAAATGATTAGCAAACACGTTTTCCAATTAATTTTAATCGTACCTGAACCAAATCTATATTCAAATTTTTATTTGTCCCCTTCCCCGTTTGATTAAGTCGTCATTTTTATTCAGCTTGAGCCATAAAATTATTAATTTAAACTCAATAATTTTGAGGGAATTCATTTAATTCTATCAAATCACAGCGCATAAAATGCTAAATTTATTTATCACGACTCAGAACTTGATTCCATTTGGCTTCATTATCGCCTCCTGATGACCGACAAGTGTCATAAAAAATACTAAGTTTGGAAAAGCCACCTGAGAAAGACGACCCCGATTATTATTAATATTAATATTATTATTATGGTATTATGATGATGGACCTGTGTCAGTGTTGCAATATCCCATCCAAAAAGAGATTGGGGGAAAATCTCTCGACCTCTGTGACTGTCTTGGCCATGTTTTGTGTCTGTTTTCCACGTTTATTTCTCACTTGGCTTTTAGAACAAACAAAAGGAGAAATAAAGAAATAAATAAAAATGGGGAAAATATTTATGAAAAATGACAACTGTCAGTCACACACGATACACACACGCACACACTCTATCTCCGGAAAAGCTGTTTTCCATGAGGGTGGCGCTCGTTTTATTTTTATTGTTTGTTCTTTCTTTCTTCTGTTTTTTTTTTATACATTTTTTGGTTGTAGTCAAATTTGTGTTAAGTTTTCTACTTTTTTCTTTGGTTTAAGGCCCTGCTCAACTTGGCGACTTTTCAAAAAAAATTCTAGAAATTATGGCCCAACAACTGCAAGAAGAGTGTGTAAGTGTGTGTGTGTGTCTGAGTGTGTGTGTGTAAGTGTGTGTGTAAGTGTGTGTGTGGGTGTGGGAGGCTGAGGGTTGGCAGTCAGCGAATCGCATAAATTAATTAAAAGTATCGGATGGATATCGGAACACTGCCTGCCTTTGCTGCCCCTCTATTATTATTATACCCTTGCAGGGTATTATAATTTCAGTCAGAAGTTTGCAACGCAGTGAAGGAGGCACCTCCGACTATATAAAGTATATATATTCTTGATCAGGATCAACAGCCGAGTCGATCTAGCCATGTCCGTCTGTCCGTCTGTCCGTCTGTCCTTCTGTCCGTCTGTCCGTCTGTCCGTCTGTCCGTCTGTCCGTTTCTACGCAAACTAGTCTCTCAGTTTTGAAGCTATCTGAATGAAACTTTGTAGTTAGCCTTCTATATACTCTCACTCGTATATATGTCGGAACGGGCCGGATCGGACGACTATATCCTATAGCTTCCATAGGAATGATCGGAAAATTTTTACAAAAAAATTTTAACTTTTTCAGTTTTCAATAGAATTGGCTCAAATTTGAGATATAGCGAATTTAATATACTCTACAATTTTGTATAAAATTTTATGAAAATCGGACTACTATATCATATAGCTCCCATAGGAATGATCGAGAAATTAATACAATTAAATTTATAACTTTTTCAGTTTTCAGCTGATTTTCATCAAATTTTAGGTATAGCCATTTTATATAAGTCTTTAAATTTTGTGTCAAATTTCATGAAAATCGGACGACTATATCATATAGGTGCCATACAAACGATCGTTTGATGTAGAGGAAAAATGCAAATCTGTGACTGTAAAATTGCAAATATAATATGTATAGGTGAATGAAATGAAAGCAGGTATTACTTCATTGTTTTTAACACAAATATATATAATTAATATTGTATGTATTCCAATTCACAGAAGTTCTATCTGCAAGGGTATATAAACTTCGGCGTGCCGAAGTTAGCTTTCTTTCTTGTTATTTATGTGCTTTTTGGCATAATTTTTAGCCACTCGCATGGAAATTTGTATTTCGAGAATATTTATGACACTGGTTCTTTGCTTGGGAATTTCTGTTGGTTGTCTCTTTTGGGGGCAGTCTTAGTTTTATGTCTTTTTAAATGGACAGGCAAAACACTAAAGGGGAGTTTAGCATAAGACATTAAGCAGCATCGGCAGGGGTATTCAGGAGCAGGAATTGTTATTTTTATAGAAGATGAAGAAGGCTTACCCCTTATTCTAAAATACATTTGTAAATATTGATATTCTGTATTCTATTATTTCTCTGGGAATTCTTGGGTGTCCCTAGCATTACTCACGCACACGTGTCTTGTCTTTCGAGGCGCCCAGTTAGTGGTTTATTTATAGTCTTCGCATTTATTTGCCTGTCGCTGAGCTTTTTTGTGCCACTTTAGGCCTCAATTATTTTGAAATTCATTAAAAGTGTCGTCTATTTTCAATATTATGAGTGTCGTGTGTGTGTGTGCTGCCCCAACTCTCTATTTTGGTTAATTTTCTGATTCGTTTTCTATCTTATTTACAGAATGCATCTCTGAGTGCAGCGAGGATCGTCCCTGAGACAGCAGAAGAAGAATTCCAGCTAGTGACAAAGAGAACAAAAGGTAACTAAACTGCTAATCTTAATCCTAAAGGCGCCCACGCAATATGCACTCAAAAAATATGTATATATGATCTTAATCCCAAGCAGGGAGAGAATGGAGTCGAATCCCATATGCACTCCTTACTCCTGATCCACAGAGGTGGGCGTGGGCAGGCCGCTTCGATTCCGCACCCATAACCATAAACCTGGCTCCAGTTCTTCAGTCGAGGCTCCCTAACCCATACAAATCGTTCCTTTTTCGGGGCCCACGCACTCTCTGAAGAAGATATATATATATATTGGGGAGTCGATGGAGGAACCTTCCAACCAACAACCATCTCCACCTTAGTCCCATTTCATTTCATTTCATTCCACAAGCCACAACCAGAACAGAATTGCAACAGAAAAACAGGTGTGGGGCAAAAGCCCATCCAGCTTCATCATCATCATCATGATTGCAAGATCATGATCAGGAAGGGGGGGGATACGGATGATCATCATCATCCTTTGTGGCAGCAGTAGAAAATCCTGTTGGCTGTCGTTGGAATGCAGATTTCGAACTCGTTTACATGCGAGTTTCTTCACCTTCTGCGCCACCGCCCTGGCGCTTAGTTTAGCCCTCCAAGCAGCTGATGCACTGTGAGAAAAATACGAGGAAATAAGGATAAAATTCTTGCTTCTCTGGTATTTGTAATATGAGTTTAATTTAAACAAGAAATAACTATCTACCCTTTCAGTTTCCAATTGAACTAAAGGATAGAATCGAAAATCGATCGATAACTAAGCCTGAAATATTCACATTCTTTGTAACATTATTATACCCTTGCAGGGTATTATAATTTCAGTCAGAAGTTTGCAACGCAGTGAAGGAGGCACCTCCGACTATATAAAGTATATATATTCTTGATCAGGATCAACAGCCGAGTCGATCTAGCCATGTCCGTCTGTCCGTCTGTCCGTTTCTACGCAAACTAGTCTCTCAGTTTTGAAGATATCTGAATGAAACTTTGTAGTTAGCCTTCTATATACTTTCACTCGTATATATGTCGGAACGGGCCGGATCGGACGACTATATCATATAGCTGCCATAGGAATGATCGTAAAATTTTTACAAAAATTTTTTTAACTTTTTCAGTTTTCAATAGAATTGGATCAAATTTAAGATATAGCTATTTTACTATACTCTACAATTTTGTGTAAAATTTTATGAAAATCGGACTAATATATCATATAGCTCCCATAGGAACGATCGAGAAATTAATACAATTAAATTTATAACTTTTTCAGTTTTCAGCTGATTTTCATCAAATTTAAGGTATAGCTATTTTATATTAGTCTTAAATTTTGTGTCGAATTTCATGAAAATCGGACGACTATATCATATAGGTGCCATACAAACGATCGTTAGATGTAGAGGAAAAATGCAAATCTGCGAATGTAAAACTGCAAATATAATATGTATAGGTGAATGAAATGAAAGCAGCTATTACTTCATTGTTTTTTAACACAAATATATATAATTTATATTGTATGGATTCCTATTCATAGAAGTTCTATCTGCAAGGGTATATAAACTTCGGCGTGCCGAAGTTAGCTTTCTTTCTTGTTTTTTAATATTTTTATATGACAATTTCTTTGACTAATCAAAGTTTTAAAATCTCATAACTCAGCCAAAAAAGCATTAATTTCAATTCGGAAAGCTGATTTATGTTAGTTTTTAACAGGTTAATAAATCTGCATACTTATAAAAACATTTTTAAAAATTCACATTTTTGTCAATTTTTAACAATTTTAATGATGTAACCCCTTATAAAATTTTGAAAAATTGAAAAAAAAATTTTTCTGCGGGAGACAGCTAGAAAGATTTGCCTGTTGATGCTGATCAAGAATATATATGATTTATGGGGTCGGAAATGACTCCTTCATTGAATTTGAAGCTTCTGACTGAAGGTGCATTACCATTTTTTAATCGATATTTACTATATTTTTATATGAATATTTTTTGAACAAATCAAATTGTAAAAATCTCATAACTAAGCCAAAAATGCATTAATTTCAATTCAGAAAGCATTCGTATGTTAATTTTTAGTAGGTTAATAAAAACGCATACTCCATTTAGAATGAGAATTTTTGGACGATTTTTGAAAATTTTACGATGTAACCCCTTTCTTTTATTTAAAAAAATTGAACATTTATGGAAAAAAAATTTTTCTGCCGGAGATGGTTAGAAAGATTCGCCTGTTGATAAGGATCAAGAATATATATGAAATATAGGGTCGGCAATGCCTCCTTCATTGGGTTACAAGCTTCTGAATAAAACTAGAAGTGCTAGATCTGATCTGTTTCACAGATTCTTCTCTTGGCCAAATCTTTAGTTATTTCTTCCTTGATTTCTCTGATCTATTTTTAAAGTCAAAAGTTTTTGTAAATTCCCACCTTATCCATATGGAAAACTGTAGTAAGGATCCTTTATTTTCTTGGAAATTCTTCTCTCCTCGAACCAAGGCCCCACTTTGGGCGCCAAATGGGTCGCTCCTGTGCTCTGTTGCGTATGTATGGGTTATGGGTTTTGGGTGGATAGTTGTGTGTGTGTGTGTGTGTGTGTGTAGTGTTGTGTAGTTGTGCGACTTGGCATCTTGTTTTTGGGCTCCGGTTCCGGTCGCGCTCAAAAGAAGATTTCAGCTGCTGCTGCTCCCGCTGTCGCTTCTCCACTTCACTTCTCCGGGCAAGAAAACAGGTTCCATTTGCCCAAGAATTTTCGCCATACCTTTCGCCCCGAGAGTGTGTGCTCTGTGTGCACAGTGAAGACCCTCCGCAGTGAACTGAATTCTAGTTTTGGGATAGTAGTGGCCATGACGAGAAGGGCGTAGCGGGTGAGCTTTTCAATGAAATTAATTGCAGAGCCATTGAAATTGATAGGCTTTCTGGGTAATAAGATGGCATTATAGGTAGCTCTTGTTGACATGTACTTGATTTTGGTTTTTTTGGGGCTTAAATGTGACACTGTCCGGTTGTCACTGTGATTGGGAAGTCATCCGGAGAGACTCCAAAGTAGTTTTGTGATTTTTTCTATTGCTCCTTTTCTGCCAACAACTGTGGGCAATGACGATCATGATGATGATGACGATGATGAACTGGCTCTCTCAGGTTTTATTGAACCCTATGTGGCCAGAACAACTTGTAGCAGGTGTTAGTGTTTTACAAGCTGTTAACTGCCGCTGCTAATGGCCAAAAGCAGTCGGGATCGGATCGGGATCGGGGTTGGGGGAAGCGGAGTGGAGTGGAGCCACTCTTATGACAAACAGCAATTCATATGGATAAATTCCACCACCACCATTGTTGGTCCGGCCTCTTCGCTACGCCTAGCACTTATTTAATGAACTTGGCTGTGAGCTGTGAACTGTAAGCTGAAAGCTGTAAGCTGTGAGGTCTTAAGCCTGAGACCCGACCCGAGACCTTCTCTCTGGGATCTGGAAGATCTCCCCTTCTTCTGTGGGCCCTTCCGCTATTCAATTCAATTGTCTCAAGACTCTGGGCGCCACGCCCAGGCCATCATCATAGACTACGACTATGAATGGCCTTTTCTAACAGTTTTATGCTAATTTTTGACAAGCAAACAAACAGACAGCGAGCCACTAAGTTAGTACACAAGAAGAAAAGGTGGAAGGAGAATCTGAATCGGAATTGGTATCCATAAGCCTTTCTCAGATTACAAAAGAGGCGAACAAAAGCGGCGAAGAAGACTTCATCAAGATTGTGCCAAGTTTTGGATTCGTTCTCTCAATCTTTCTCTATAGAGATTAATACATATATATGTCTTTATCTTCGTTTCAAAGCCGCCTTGCTTGGCCCTGATGGCCGTTTGTCATTTCAATTAAGTGTCATTAGCCAAGTCAGTTGGCCAATGAGACAATAAATCAGTTTTTAGCAAGTTAGAGACAAGTCAAGGAACTGCTTTTGCTTTTCGCTCAGTGTACTAGGAACTCAACATATTTATTCGCTATTAATTAGGGTTTTTTTTTTCAAATTCGGTGATTAATAACCCTTCCTGCTGAATGGCCAGCCAAATGAGTCAACAAAAGGGGAGGGAATCGTTGTTGTCCGTGGCTAATCAAATTAGCTTTTGGCTGGAATACTGCTTTACTATGTTGCGGGCCGAAAACAAACAGCCAATTAATTGGGCCAACAAACAGCAGCAGCTGCCTGTTGGCCCAAACAGCTGACCGAACGGCAGCGGTGAGAGCCATAAGGAGACTCAAGATCATTGGCCATATTTGGTAGCAAACTATAGTGGCAACATGTTGCTGCTGCTGCTGCTGCCCCCTACTTGATGTTGCTGCTGTTAATGTTAATCTTTAGCCATTTAATTGTGCAAAAACAAAAGCAAAAACACACATGTTGCATGGAGCCATTAACAGGCCCCAAGGCGGTTGCTTGTTAGTAATTCTGCCACTGGATGCTTAGATTACAGCCAAGAGTTGTTAACAACCAGAAACGAACAAACAAACAGGCAGGCATAATAGCTGGACATTGTTGTCGCACTTTTCCAATTTAAATAGTAAACAATTTATGAAACAGCAGCATTTTCCTTCGACTAAAGTCTGGAAATAATCAAATAAAGAGGTTTATTATCGCCTGCAATTATCCTTGTTGCATGATGCAGCAATTAAAGGTAACCTGCAGCAGCAGCAACAGATGAGAGCATCTTTGCCAAATTGCATTTAATTTGACCAACTTTGAATTGATATCTCCAGGGGTGACGTCATGGACCCCATAATGGACCCTTTTTTGCCGCCAACTGTTGACTCTTTTTTCCCCCTTTTGTATTTTTGGTTCTGGTTTTATTTCTTCTTGTGTTTTTTGTTTTCCTTGCGTTATTATTCTTGCAGCGCCCCATTCATTTCCTCGGCTGTTGCAGTTTCCAGGGCTTGGTTTTTGTTGCTGCTGTTGCTGTTGCTGCTGCTGCTGTTGCTGCTGCTGCTGTTGCTGCTGCTGTCTCAGGAATGCGCATTAATTTTCAACACACGCAACTGGCAAACTGGCAACGAGGAGCAAGTGGATGCGGGCTACGACGTAGCCATTCGGGACCACAGAAACCTGCGTCAATTTCGCGCTTTACTTTTGTTGTCAGATGTTTTAAATCAGCGTCGAGCTGGTTTAAGAGCTCCGTGCTGTGGTGTGCCTGCTGTCCCCTACTCCCGTGTAGGCAGTCCGGTTTGCTCCTTGCGTTAACAAGTGGCCACCATCAGCAGCAGAGCAGCATGCAACATCAGCAGCAGCAGCAGCAGCAGCAACACAAGCAGCAACAGCAACAGCGGCAGCTGCACGCGCCTTGGACCAATAATGACTATCAAATGGGAGCCGCGTTGCGATTTATGTGCGTCAGGAGCTGGGCTGGAGAAGGAGGTGCAGAAGGTGTACACCGCTCTCCAAGGGGGCGTGCCTGAGGGGGCAGGACCGAGAGGACCTAACGACTGGGCGGCCGTTTTCTTGGAATTCCGAGCGCGCTTTTGTGTTGTGGCATCGTTTAAATTTCAAATCGAGGCCCCGAAACTGTCGCAGGCCAGACGCTCGCCTGTCCAACTCGTTCTGGATTCTGGAGGTGCCCCATCTCCTGCTCCTGTTGCAGGGCAGGGCCGCTCATAATAATGACACGCCATTAACAATCTGGGGCCCCGGACGACGAGTCCTTGGCCCTTTGCTGTAGATGAAGATGAAGATGAAGCTGGAGAGACGATGGCAAAGAAGCTGTGCAGCTGAAGCTCCAGTTTAAATGGCACATTGCTGGCCCCGACTGCTTCCGTTGTCACGCCCCCTTTTTGTGGCAGGGGGAGAAGGAGCAGGAGCAGGAGCAGCAGAAGGAGGAGATGGGGATGGAGCAGCAAGTGCAGGGAAAGGCAGACACCAGGCAGGTTGAGTGGTACAGTTGGGCCCAAGCAAAGCTGCCTGCGATCGCATTCCGAGCATGTCAAATGGTCAGGAATGCCTGGCTAGGCAAGGGTTTAATGAAGCTCAGGATCTCTATGGGTTATAAGAAGCCTCTACATCTCTCTGGGATCTCTCCAGCTCAAAGATTAACCAAATCCTTAATCATCTTCATCGTTCTAACTAAGATCATCCTTGAAATAATCACCTCTCCCCATTCTATCTTTTCCAGACTCTGCTCCCTAAACATGGCACGACTTGGTCCAGTTTCCACACTGATCCTCTGGTGTATTCTGTGCAACAGGAGCATCACCAGCAGCAGCAGCAGCAGCAACAGCATCTCCAACACCGATAGTGGCTCTGCACCCGCCGACCTGGGTGTCTTCTTTGAACGAGCACCGGAATCGGCGGTGGCACCCAAGGGCGATGAGGTGGTCTTTGAGTGCGAACTAAACCTCAAGCCGGATCGTCTGGAATGGCGTTTCCGGCGCAGTGGCTCCACCGAGCCGTACCGCATCCTCAGCCCCACCGCTGGCTACAATGTGACCAGTGGCAGTGATGATCGTGCCTGGCGACTACGCATCTATGTGAGTGCCCAGACCGCTGGTGACTACCAGTGTGTGGCTACATATGGTCCTGGTATCCTGGTATCAACATCCGCTCGACTGGCACTCGTTTCCATTGCCCTGGAGTCGTCGGGTGGTCATGGGTCCGGTCGGGGCTCCGTCCGTTGGAGTGTGGCGCCCAGGAACTGCATCCTCATCCGATGTGGCAGCGTCATTTCAAATCCGCCCGCCATCTGGAGCTTCTACAAGAACGGTGAGAAGCTGCCGCAGTCGGAACTGCTGCCGGGAGCATCGGGTGCCCTCGTCCTGGACTCGGTGACGGCCAAGGATGCGGGTAACTACAGCTGTGCGGCCACCAATGCCATAACGGGCGAGGAGCTGAGCCTGCCGCAGGCCATCGAGCTGCGAGTGGACTACACGGACCGCACGGCTCCCTTCTTCCTGCAGAGACCGCCCTCGGAGCTCTCCGCTCGTCCCGGCGAGACCGTGGTCCTCGAGTGCCCTGGCGTGGGCTCCCCGCGACCCGAGGCCGTCTGGAGCAGTCCCAATTTGACGCGGATACACCACAATCGGAGCAGGACCCTGCCCTACGGCTTCCAGATCAGCGATGTGCGACCCGAGGATCAGGGCTCGTATGTCTGCCTGCTGGACAATGGCATTGCACCGCCCCAGGGGCACATGATCAAGCTGAGTGTCCTGCAGCGACCCATTATCCAGAGCGGACCGGCTGCCACGCTCACGAACGAGACGAGCTCCCTGGAGCTGGAATGCCGGGCCACGGGCAATCCCCAGCCGGAGATCTACTGGCTGCTCAACGGGCGAGATGCCACCGCCGATCCGGAGGCCAGAGTGTATGAGCAGGGCAAGCTGCGCCTGGAGAGAGTCCAGAAACGGCATGCGGGTGTGGTGCAGTGCTTTGCCAGGAATAGCCTGGGAGAGGTAAGTTTCAGGATGCTGCCTGGTGCGTCCTTCCTGAGTAAAGCAATCTCTCTTTTTCTTTTTCCCCAAACAGACCAGCGAGGCCAACATGTTGCGAGTGAATCCCCTGGACATTAGCGGCGAGGAAGAACCCATCTTGGGACCCTTTCCCATACGCCACGAGCCTTCACCGGCCTCGACGCCTTCGGCAGGAACCAAGAACAAAGGCGGCAGGCGTAGACGTCCAGGTGAGTGCTAGTCCTTAGTCATTGATGATTCCGCGAATCACCCAAAGAAACTCCATGATTTTCTAAGTTTCATTCGTGGATTAGCTGGCCACGCCCACTGTATTATGTGTGTGTGTGTGTGTTTGTTGTGTGTGTTGTGTGATTGATTGATTGCGATTTACAATTAGTGATGGCTTCGTCAGTAATCCTGACCAGCGGCAGACTAAACGCCCACCGCAGCCCCCCGCCCCTGTGAAAATTTAAAAAGGGAACCTAAGTAAACAAAAAAAAAGGAAAACGGAAGAGGGGACTCGAGAGGTGGGATGTGGGGAACCAGGAACTGGGACTGAGACAGACTCTGGGAGCTGGGAGTTGGGTGTGGGGTGTGTGGAAAGGTAGCAGTTGTAGTCCTAAAACTATTAGAACTAAAATCCCCCAGTGGTGAAACGGTCCAAGTAGGCATCCGTCTCCTCCTCATCCTCCTCGTCGTCATCTTCGACATCGCTAATGTCCTCCAGGTCTCATGAGTTGGAGCATTTTCGTAGCTGCTCCTCCTCCTTCTGCAGGATGCGTATCTTCATTTTGAGCTCCTCGACCCGCAATCGATGCACCTCTCGCATATATTTGAGCTCATCCTGCGCCTTGTTCAGCTCAATTCGCTTGGCCTCCGTGGCCAGCTGCTGCTCCTTGCACCGCAGCTCAGCCTCTCGGATCTTGAAGTAGTTCATCCGCTCCTCAAAGTTATCCGCTGCCGCCGAGGAGGTATTTGTCCCATTGACACCTCCCAGACTGGTGTTGTTGCTCACCGAAGAGGTGTTGTTGGCACCGCTCGTTGATGAGTTTAACGCTCCCGAATTGGCCGCAGCCGAGGCTGTGGCCACGGGCACAGGAACAGCAGTTGGCACTGTAGTCGCCGCCGTTGCCGTCACTGTGGGCAGGGCGCTGAACGTAAAGGTGGGCGTGGCGGCGGTGAGTTGCATCTTAACAGCCGCCGCGGCCGCTGCTGCCTGTTGTTGCGCCTGCTGCTGAGCAGCGGCCGCCTGTTGCTGCTGTTGGACCACAACGGCGGCGGCTGCTTGCTGCTGCTGCTGGTGATGCACCTGGACGGCGGCAGCCAGTTGCTGCTGCTGAGCGGCCGCTAGCTGTTGCTGGGCAAGCTGCTGAGCCTGTGCCTGGGCCTGGGCCTGAGCTTGAGCCTGGGCTTGAGCCTGAGCTTGAGCCTGAGCTTGAGCTTGAGCCTGAGCTTGCGCTTGAGCCTGCTGTTGCTGCTGGGCCTGGTATTGGGCCAGCGTGATCTGTTGTGGCTTGATCTCGCTGATGATCTGCTGGTTGTAGCCGCCGGCGGTGATGGTGGCCATCGTGTGCTGCTGCGCCTGGGAGGGTATCGTGTGGATCTGGGTGGCTGCAATAAGGCGGGGATTCGATAGATTAGCTTTGAGTTGACCCTTAATAGGATGGGCACTGCTTACCGGTTGCCTCGGCGGGATGCTTGATCTGCAGAATGATCTCCTCCCGGGGCCGCGCCGACTTGAAGTGCAGCAGATCGTTGAGGGTGAGCTTCTCGGCACTGATTTGATCCACATTGATTTGGTGATTGTTGAGCATGTTGGCATTGGCCGCCGCCGCAACTGCTGCCGCCGCGGCGCTCACCTGCTGCATCTTTTGCATCTCGACGGCGGCGGCAGCGGATTGCTGCTGCTGGGCCTGGGCTTGAGCCTGAGCCTGGGCTTGCGCCTCCTGCTGCTGCTGCTGCTGCTGATCCATGGGATCGTCATCCATTTCGCTCACATCGTTGGCGTCCATCTCGATCTCGTCGAAGTTGTCCGTCTGTGGATTGTGCTCGGAGGTGTCGGGGCTGATCTGGTACTCCGGCTCCACCTTGACGCCGTCGTGCTGGTGATGCTGCTGCTGTTGTTGCTGCTGCTGCTGGGTCACCGTCGTCGAGACGGACAGGGAAACGGTGCCCATCTTGGCACTGCCAGAGCTGAGATTGGTGGAGCCGCCGTCTCGGTAGGGATACTGCTTGCGGAGTCTGTGCAGAGAGAGCGGGGAGAGATGGTTAGATTGGTTTTTAGGGCCTGGTCTCTGGACTCCATCCTCACCTGGAGTTGAGCCAGAACTTCTGGATCTGTTTGACATTGCGCAAGGCGCTGACATGCGGGTGGGAATTAAAGTCGGAAACGATCTTGTCCCAGGTTTCCCGGACGGAGTACTTGTTGCGCTGCTTCTTCCGGTGCTTGATGTCGATGACCTCCTCGTGCAGGTGGAACAGGGTGTAGAGCACCTCCTTCTCCTCGGCGGTGAAGCGAGGCGTTAGCGGCAGCTGGCTCTTGTTGCTGTTGCTGCCGCCGTCGCCACCGCCTCCACCGCCATTGCCACCGTTGCTTACCACGACGCTGGCCTGGCCACTGGAGGCTCCAGCTCCCGCGCTGCCACCTTCCGCTGTGGAATTACCGCTGGCGCCGCCGCCCGTTGGGGGGCGCTGCCCCCGCCACTTCCGTCGCCTTGAGCCGACATTTGAGTTTGTTTTGAGTTCGGCCTCGTTTCGGACTCGAATTCGGAGTTCGAAATGCGCTATTGCACTCGTTTCACGTATACACACAGGCCACTACACTCGCACACAGACGCACACGCGAGCGCGCCCGTGCGTTGGTGTGCGTCAGTGTGAGTCTTTTTAGTCGCTGGCGCTGCTGCTGCTTCCCTCTCGTTTTCCACCACGGCTATGGCTGCTGCTGGCATACGGCCACCTATTGCACTTGATTCGAAATTGGTTTCTGTATATCAATTGATCCCTCGGACGCGCGACAGCGAATCGCCGCTTAATTGGCTAACACACACACATCATTTCGCGCTGCCGCTCTTGCTTAGCTGTGCTGTTTTGTTCACTCACTCGAATACAAAAAAAAAAGATTTTGGCTCAAAATGCGACGAAGCGCTGAGTGTGCCCGATACTGAGTGAGCGCAAAATGGCGGCGAGTTGAGATTTTTTTGCCTCTACGCTATCGCAGGCTGGTCACACTCTGCGACCCGTGAGTAGTTTATCGAAATATCGATATACTTAAAATGGCAGCGCTGGTCACACTACACTCTCTCTCCCAAAATCTGAAAGTCATTCATTCATTTTAATCTTAATTTAAGTGCAAATTTTAATCAAAAATAAATTGCAACTCAATTATGTTGCAGCCAACATGGTTCCGCCATCCCGGCCGAACGTCACCCGGCTGTCGGACGAAGCGGTGATGCTGCGCTGGAGCGTGCCGCAGAACCTCGGCCTCCCGATCATCTTTTTCAAGGTGCAGTACCGCAACCTCGGCGACGGCAAGTCACGCCGCGAAGGCTGGCAGACGACCAGCGAGAATATCCCCTACGGCAACAGCCACTGGCGGCAGCGGGGACGAGAGCGGAACCGGGATCGCGAACGTGAGAGGGAGCGTGAGCGTGACCAGCACGAATTGGGGAATGGACCGAAGAATTTCACCTCCTCGGTGACGGGACTGGTGCCCGGCATGTACTACCGCTTCCGGCTGGTGGCGGTCTACTCGAACAACGACAACAAGGAGGGCAACGCCTCGCTCAAGTTCCTGCTGCTGGCGGCGGGTAATGCCAAGTCAAATCTCCCCGTTCCCGAGCTGCACGAGGTGGAGCCCGTCTCGGAGTCGGTCGTCCAGCTGCATTGGTCCCTTGCAGCGGCCAGTGACCACAATATCGACGGATACTATGCATACTACAGGCCAGCGGCGTCGGCGGCAGAGTACCTCAAGTCCACCGTGGATGGCGGGGGCAGTAGGAGCTTCCGGATCGATCAGCTCCACCCGGGCACCACCTACGAGTTCAAGCTGCAGTCTTTCAATGCGGACGCCGCCTCCGAGTTCAGTGCCATCAGGCAGGCGCGTACCAAGCGTGAGTATGGCCCGCAGAAGCGTGTAGAATCTATACTAATCCTTTCTCATTTACAGAGTTCCATGATCCAGCGATAGCCCAGTCGCCCAGGGCTCCTGTGCCCGCCAATAAAACGGCTACGGGTGGTGGCCACCAGCAGAACTCCATCTATCCGGTGATCCTAGGGGCGTCTGGCGGTGCCCTCCTGCTGCTCATAGCCGTCGTTTGGGCCTGCCTGTGCCTCCGGCGGAGGGACAACTCGCAGCCAGAAGGTGGGTCGTGCTTTGGGCACTCAGTGTCTTCGCTATGCTAACCCAGCTGCTCTTTTCCCTTTTGCAGATGAGAACAAGCCGCAATTGGAGCACATCCAAGCGGACTTTGTGACCTCCGCCGTGCTGGGCGTGGGCGGCCATCACAAGAGCGGCGATGTGCGTCGCCTCAACGGAGTGATTCCCCGCATGAACATCACACCCAATCCGCTGGCGGCCCAGGAGGCGGCGTCCGATAAGGTGAGCATCCCGTGTAGACCGGTGCATCCGGCTAGTTTGCTTTCTCACAGCTTCATCCTGTTCGAAACACACGCAAAACTTTCGCTGGTTGGTTGGTCAAAATTATAATCACCCCCCCCCTCGTATGATGCCTCCGCCTCTGTCTCTGCCTCTGTCCCGCTTGCCCCATCCACCCCCTTCTTCTCCTCTCTCGCTCTGTTTCGCTGTCTCTGTCTCTTTCGCTTGCCACTGTGCCTAATCTCCGCCTGGAGTTGGCGATGCGTTGCATCCACTGAGCGTCCACTGTTCCCTAGAACCGCAACGTGATGGAGCTACGCTTCCTGCCCCGCTGGCGAACGGGAACTGCAATGGGCTGCCCAAGCAGGAACAGGATCACCAGCAGCAGCAGGAGCAGTCAGCTAAGGAGAAGGATAAGGAGGAGGACGAGGAGCAACAGCACGAGGAGGCGGAGCACGAGGACGACGCGGAGCCAGAGGGGTCCGAGCAAGAGGATGACGATGGCCCCGGACCAGCGGCCGCCTCATCCTCCTGCGAAACCCTCGAGGCCTGCGACGAGGGTCTCAAGCTGTCCCTCCATCAGAGCCACAAGCTGCAGCCGGAACCGGTCGTCCAGCTGGAGGCGCCCAGCAAGCCACTGCCACCGCTGCCGCTACCCAAGAAACCAGCTCCCAGTGCTGGACAAGTAAGCCAGCAGCAGTGCGGTGTCCCCGGATAATAGCACCGAGAGCAGCAGGACTACCAAACCATTCCAGACTAGAGCCGCCAATTGGTGCTAGTACTGGGGACACCTGCTGTAATCCGTAATCCCGGGAAGGGAAAGCCAACCCCCCAGCCGAGTTTGTTTTGTCCACACCCCACCAGCCATTCATTCATGCAGATTCACCCAAGCAGACGCCCTCGCACCTGACCAGCTCACCCCTACTCACACTCTTTTTACCTTTTCTGCCCTCCACAGAGCCACGTCCCGCATCAGAATGGCCTGCACCATGCCCAGCCCTACCATCCGCCGGGCACGCCCACGCTGCTGCACAAGCGTCTGGACTACCATCACCAGCAGCACCACCACCAGCAGCCACCGCCAGTGCCGCCGCACTCTGCTTACTACCAGCAGGCGGCTCCGCCCGCCCATGTCCATGGCCACCAGCCCTCGCCTATGCTGGAACGCAGTGTGAGGAGCCTCCAGCAGCAGCACTCCGGCTACCATTTGGAGGAGGCGGTGGGTACGCCCACGCCCTCGCGGATACCGTCTCTGCGAAGGCAGCGTCGCACCTCGGGCAGCCAGCACAATAGCCACAGCAATCTCAATCTAAACCACCACAACAACAACAACAACAACCTGCCGCCACACCACCAGCACCTGCACCTGCACCACCAGCAGCTCCAGCAGCAGCAGCATCCCGGCCACGTGGGCATACCCATCGTGCCGGGCAGTCCGCGTGTCCAGCGCTCGCCGATGCCCAGTCGGGCAATGATCAAGCGGACGCGCCTGGGCAGCCACACGGACAACATCTCTTCGGGCAGCCTCAACAGCATCGAGGTGTGAGGAGCTGGAGCTCCACCTAGGATTAAGATGACGTGTATTATTAGGAATATTTGTAGGACAGGCGCCGGAAAGCCACTCCAGCTAAAAAGGTTTAGGAATTTATTTTGTAAACAACTGAAAGTAGTTTTTAAGTAAAAAGCACAGCCAAAAATTGTCAATTGAGTTGGAGTGAGCCAGGAAGAAATTAAGGATTGATTCATCCGGTAGCAGAGCTGAGTCCCGGCCTGATAGTCAGTAGCCTTATTGTTTGGCATCCTTTTTCCTTTTTTTTATCTCTGTAATGTAGCGTAAGTAGTTTTTAGTTATTTATTGCAGCAAGTGACTCGAATTAGCCAAGTTAAGTTCGTAGTTTAAGCAGACACTCACTCCTAGAAGGCCTAGAAAGCGTAGAAACCTAAACTAAGCTAGCTCCTAAGGCAAACCGACTATCTAAACATTAACTCGCTGCGTATTTGTAACTAACATCACGCCCCACACTGTATTCACTTCGCTCGCGTGGAACACGGACTCTGAAGTTCCGGAAGCGCATCCTAAACTAGGCTTAGGTCTTTAAAAGCGAAATTTTCAAATAAAAATGAAAAGAAAACATAATTTGCATTTTTTGTTCTCAAATGGAAAAACAACAAACACAAGGGCAGCAACAACAGCTATAATAACGTTTGAACAACAAAAATGAGTTTTTGTTGTTGTAAAAATGTGTTTTTGTTGTTGTTGTAAAAATGTGTTTTTGTTGTTGTTGTAAAAATGTGTTTTTGTTGTTGTTGTAAAAATGTGTTTTTGTTGTTGTTGTAAAATTGTGTTTTTGTTGTTGTTGTAAAATTGTGTTTTTGTTGTTGTTGTAAAATTGTGTTTTTGTTGTTGTTGTAGTGAACGTTTGTTGTTGTTGTTGCTGTGACAAAAAACCAGACCTCGATCGCCTCATTTCGTTAATTTTTGGACCTGAAGTACCAGGCGAACAGAAATCAGCAGAAGGTGGATTTCATTTTGTGCAGTGACGTCATAGTTCAGCCCAAACGAAATTCGTTAATTTTTGGACCTGAAGTACCAGGCGAACAGAAATCAGCAGAAGGTGGATTTAATTTTGTGCAGTGACGTCATAGTTCAGCCCAAAAGTATGCTGCATCGCAGCCTAGAAGTATGCTATAGCAAAAAATATAAATTTTTTGCCAGTGTCACCACACTGTAAATTTTTGGCCAGTGTGTCCATATTTCAAACTTGCGGTTATCGATTAATTTATCGTTGGCGGTCAATTTAAATTTAAATTTGAATTTTGCACTTTTGGCCAGTGTGACCATATTGTGAACTTTCGGATGCATGATTTATCGATTAGTTTATCGGTGGCGGTTAATTTAAATTTAAATTCGAATTTGGCGGTTTAGCTAAATTGCACTACTGAGAAAATAAAGCATCGCCATTGGATTTAAGCTATAAATCTAGATATTTTGCACTATTGGGAGAAAAAGGCATCGCTCTAGTATTAGAGATGTCAATCTACCTGTAGTCCACTCTTGGAAGAATAATTTAAAATATACTGCACTGCAAAGGAATACAATAGACAATAAATTTCAAAATACAACTTTCTTTGTTTCGTAGGGTCATTTTTACCATTTTGACCACGATCTAGCAAAGTTTTCAACCAACCAACTTTCTGGTATAATCCTAAACGCGTTTTCATAAATCTTTGGTATTTTGCAAACTGGTCATACTGCCATCAAAAACCTCATTTTTGCCGAAATTTGTTATTATTGTCATTATTCCGAAGCTTTTTAACACAAAACGCCCAAAATACTAATTTTGATCAGCTTGCAATAACTCAACGATCTGTTGGGCAACTAGAGGAGACATTGCATTTGGCCAGAACCTGGGATAAACGGCACAGCAACATCATGAACTTCTTGCGGCAAACTTTCGGCATTACGAAACAATTGACGACGCTGGGTGAGTTTTAATTGCGGTATTTACGGATATTGACGATTGTTTTGGTTTCTAGTCCCCCGAACTTCATGACTTTGCGGATTTTTTCAACCCTTTTCACACCGCTTCTGCGATCGGCGCAGCGTTTTCGTTTCCCCATCCCCCCGCTCAGACCCAGCGTTCTGCCAGTCAATTTCCATTATTGCCGCTGCCGATGATGGTTTTCCTAGTGCGCGTGGCCGGCTCACTTCTGCCAGCGCCTGCGAATATTTTCATTTCGACTTTCACACATGCACATTTAGCCGGCTCCTCCTGCTTTTAATTGGAAAACGTAGAAAAAGCAATTGAAAACAAAAAAGGGAACCTGTCACTCCGAAAAGGGGCTAAAAGCGCTGACCAACAATGGGCGCACACAGAAGATCGCACAAACAACCGCAAAAAAGGTCGCAGGTGTGGTTATCCATTCCCATTGTTCGAGCTCCTTTTTTGCATATTTATAATCCTGCATTACCTGCTTCGGTGTGTGCGTGTGTGCATGTGTGTGGCATTTGCAATTAAAATTTCTGTTTGCATTTGGAAACTGGACGCAGCATGGCATCAGGATGCGGGGAAAAGGCTTGACGGGACCGAATACCGCTTTCTATACGGTGGGATCGATCGCCGCCGCCTGCGCGTCATTTGGCCGCAATTATTTGTGGATTCCGCTGGAAACTGGAAAAGCAGAATAGCCGAATCTGTGCGAGAGCAAGCAGCAATTGCCGATTTTCACAGGGATTAGCCACAACAAAGGATGCAGCCAGCCAACGGGCATTGTCAATCACTGACCAACTGTCCCTCCACGGCTGCATTGACCCTTTTGTCCACTTTTTGTCCCCGCTCGAGGTACAGTTGTGTGCCCCGGGGATGGATCATCGGAGATCGCTTGATTGGCAGCTCTTGATATATAGAAACAAATGCATATAGCAAGGCAAGGGGTTTGTTTTCGCTGATCACAGCTTGTTCCTTGTTCCAGTTCTCAAACCAAATACTCAGGCGTTCTGCCAATGTACTTTCCATGCTCCAATTGAGTTTCCGCAGTTAAAAATAACTAGAAAGTAAAAAAATTTTTGTTATTAGTTAGGTATTTATTGGAATTGAAGGATCATAAGGTCATAAGATACAGATTGTTAAAGTTATTCAAAATGGGCTTCTTTTCTTGAATTTTCCGGAAAGTAAATGTATCATAACATGCTCAGTTCTTAACCGATTTGGGTTGGGTTTTGATTTACTATACTGCATTTAATGAGTAAATTAATTTTGCATATAAAGTTTAAGAAATGTGAAAAATGGGGCTTTCTTCAATTTTTTGATATTTTCATGATGTTAACCCTTACAGAAATTTTGAAAAAAAATTGCAAAATGTTTTGATTTTTTATATCTTGAATATTTTTAGCCCATTTTATAGACCTGAAAAATAGTGATAAGAAAATGTATACCATATTAGTATACTATTTATTTTGAGCATTTTATGGGCTCCTGAATACATAAGAGATGCCAAAATTCATATGAAAAATAACAAATTATATGATATATGGAAATTTATAGATACAATTGATCTATATTTGAATTATAGATGTTCAGGAAAGTATTTAATATAAAGAATAGCTTCAAGAAGGTTGTTAAACAGTCACTCTCCTTGGAAATTTACTTACTTAAATTTACTACAAATGAATTCCTCAATAATTCCTTACAAAATTCTTTCTTCTTGCAGCCATCCAGAGCAGCTATGAGACCGCCGTGCGTGGCATGGCCTCCCTGCAGCAGATGCATCGCTCTGGGCCCCACATCAAGACGCGTCCACCGCGTCAGCCACTGGATGGCAAGCCCTTTGCCAAGGGTGTCGTCCTCAAGACGTTGATCAAGAAGCCAAAGAAACCCAATTCGGCGAATCGAAAGTGCGTACTGGTACGCCTCTCCACCGGCAAGGAGATGGTGGCCTACATACCCGGCATTGGCCACAATCTGCAGGAGCACAACATTGTTCTATGCCGTGTGGGACGCCTGCAGGATGTGCCCGGCGTTAAGCTGAAGGCAGTGCGTGGAGTCTATGACTTGGCGCATGTCATCAAGAAGACGCAGTAGTAAGCAACACTGTTCTCCTGCTCCTGCTCCTGCTCCTGCTCCCAAGTCACATTGTACCATAGACCATATAGTAAATGCGTAACCATTGTTAATATTGTTTGTTTTTTATGGAAAATTATGCAGCTCAGACCGGCTTAAGGCGGTGTAAGCAGCGACAAGTGAACAGGGAATGAGAGGAAGAGATCTACGCTTGCATCCTTGGGATACGATCCCTTCTCGTAATCTTAAGTCAACAAGGGCCAATGTCACGTCACTTCTACCTAAAGGGACTGAAAAGGTTTTAACGGCATTTTTACACTTTAGCTGCTAAATCCTTTTGCCGGAATCTTGTTGCTTTTTAACGGAATTGCCAAATTTTCTGCCACATAATCGTTAGCTGAAATGGGCGTCGCCCCGTCAGCGCCCACACTTGGCACTCTCTCTTCGCATAATTGAGAAATTCAATAGAAAATCCAAGTAGTTATCCTTTTTTCAACATTTAGTTTCTAGAAGCAACTCCTGCAGAGAGAACAACTGCCGAAAATTAGCCAAGAGAATTGAGTCTTTGAGGGAAATTGTCTAAGCAGAAAGACTGTGTAATATTGGGACCTCTTCTTTGAATAGGAAACTATATATTGAATAGATTTAAATACTTTCTAGTTCCTATTTCGTTTGTAAATCATTATACTTTGTGAATAGTTAAAGTATATCATCAATGCTGTTAGATATTTTTGTTTAACATTCAGTTTAAATAGCTACAAAGCTTTTTAATTTAATATCGAAATGATTTCTATGGGAAGTACTAATTAATTCTTCCTAAATCAAACCCTCAAGCTTAAGGAGACTGTTTGCCTCTTGTTCTTGCCTTAAAATTCAGCAATTACTAGGCGTATTTGTGCGGAAGTCGGTTCAAATCAAAGTGTAGGCTCTGGACTGACCATCCCAGGACTCTGCATTAACCCATCCGCAGAGTCACAGTCGCAGGATCAGCAGGCGAGGAACTCCGAAACAGTTAAGCAAATACCAGCTAAAGGATGCGTTTTATGTAAGCCGACGGGGACAAGTCATAGCTGTCGCCATGAAGAAGGCAACCGACTATGCCATGGATGGATGACATTTCTGAGCGGTGACCACAGTTCAGAGTTCGCTTCCTTTCTGGCCAGACATTGTGTCAACAGAAGAGCCCGGAGTTACCGTTAGCCGCAGGTCCTGCTGCCTTGATTGAGCCATTATGACAGCGGCGTAGGAGTGGGAGAAGGGCAGGACCTTTGTCTTGGCTTGTATGTTTCGTGTGTTTTTTTCTGCTGAGTCAAGTTGTCCAACATTCTTTGGGCCTCGCCCTTTGTCTCCTGAGCGTGCATAATTTTTATCAATAAAAACTGCATTGTCCGGAGAGCAGAAGAAGAAAAAAAACACACATACGATAATCGTCCTGTCTTGGCCAACTTCCGTTGAATCGCCAAAGGATATTAGCCGCCGCCGACCCTTTAGGCTTTCTTTTTTTGTTTTCTGCATTAACTGTAAAATTTGGCAAATGAAAAATGAATCCTTTAAGATGGCCAACTGGACAATCATCGAAGTGTTCACACGTTTGTGGCTTGGCCAAAAATGAGTTGCCAAAACATCTGGGAAAAATGCAGCAGTAAAAAGACACAAGTTTTTGGCCTTTTTTGATGTCAAACGAATTGTCCGTTTCAAATCTGCATTTCTTTGGGTTAATTATTGTGGACAATTGAGTTGTATTTTAGAAAGGGATTTGGCTGAGAAGGATTTATTTGAAATGGCAGAGAAACAGAGACTGAGTACTCCAAGATAGAAGCTTCAGAAGCTTCTTAATTATAATTTGAATAGGCTTGAGGGGTAAACTTCTGGTATTCACTTTAAAATGGTTACTAATAAGATTTAGGCTTGTTTCTGAAACAGCCATAGATCCCAGGTAGCTTAAGCTGTCTTGTTTCTTAAACTGAAATATCTAACTAAAATGTAGAATATTTCTAAATGAATAAAATCGCTTATCTTTAAAATAATAGCAGAGACTTCACTACATAAGAACTCTTTCAGTAATCCAGGTTATTTTTGTGTTTAGCTAAAGGTTATTTACTTTTTAAGGAGCCCTTTAAGAGTCTTAAAAATAATTTAAATAATTAATTCAGACATCCAGGACCTATGAGTAACATTATTTATAATTTGCACTTATTATGTTTAATTTTCATAAATTTTTCGTTATTAAATATACCCAAGTATACTTTATTTTTAGAAATTCGCAGTGAAAAAGCCATTTCCGACCCTATAAATCATATATATTATTGATCAGCATTTAAAGCCGAATCGATCTAACTATATTTGAAGGAAAATTAATTTTTATGAATTTTTTGAAAATTTTATAAGGGGTTACATCGTTAAAATTATCAAAATTTGAGAAAAATGTTGAATTTTTTAAATACTAAATTGAGTATGTATATTTATTAACATGATAAAAACTAACATGGGAACGATTTCCGAATTGAAATTAATGCATTTTTGGCTTAGTTATGAGATTTTTAAACTTAGACTGTCCCAAAAAATATTGAAAAATATAAATTATAATAAAAATTCAAATTTCAAGAATCTTGCTGAGGAATATATAAACTTATTCAGTGAAGAGGCCATTTCCGACCCAATAAATTATATATATTATTGATCACCACGAAAAACCGAATCGATCTTGCTATTTTTGTAGGAAAATGAATTTTTATGAATTTCTTGGAAATTTTATAAGGGGTTACATCGTTAAAATGATCAAAAATACAAAAAACTTTCCTTTCTGGCTTGGGTTTATAATATAAATCAATAACACAAATATTAAACCCGAAAAGACGTTCAACTTTGGCACAGACTGTACTATACTTTCCAATACCTCTGTGTACACTTTTTGTGGCATTCACAATTGGATTTCACATCCCCACCATCATTGAATCAATCTATATCTTATATATCTGAATTTCTGGTCAATTTTGTGACCACAAGAGCTTTAATTGTTCCTGTTTGTGGCAGACGCTAAGGGCATCCTTTCCCTCCCCCTGAAGGACCAAACCATATCCAATCGATGCTGTCAGTTTGCACTCCTTGTGGAAGGAGGAAAAGTTGCAGAAGGACATCGAAGGCTTGAAGCTGGAGGCTTGAACCTGGAAGCAATCATAAAGGGGTAGCTATGGGGGAAGTCAATGCTTGACCAGAGAAATTGCCAAACGTTTTATTTAATCATGGACACGTGTTCCATTTGGGGTGGATTCTGCAATGGGGTTGACTTCAGAGTCCCGGAGTCCTTTCCACCCTTGTGCAACCCTTGCGTGATGGGAATCTCGTAATGCTCGAGCAAAATGGCGACGAATCGATGCCAAATCCCATCATCGATTCCCAATAAAAATGGTGTGGTTTGTCCACAGGGAATGCAGATCAGTCGAAAGATTGCAAATCACATTCTTCTCCTTGGCCTAATTGGCATCTTGTTTGCTTTGTGTGCCTTTCTTGGCCAACAATCGAGATGTCAAGTGTTTGCGCCAAATAATGATGCATAACCCTGTGACGGAGATGTTGCAATCAAGATTATGGATTATCCTTTCGGGAACATAATAATTTCCCTGTAATCGATCGAGACTTGAAGACAATTCCATCTCGGAGCTGACAAAAAAAGATGCTGGAAGAAGGAGTGAAGAACGACGGGCGGGCCTAACCGCACAAAAAGGATCTGTGTCCTCTCTCTCTTTATACATCCTTCTCTCTCTGTGTGTGTGTTTTGTCCTGGGCCACGTGCAGAGCACACTCCAATCACAAATCACGAGAGAGGTGAGTGAAAAAAGGGCACACGATCATCACCGCCGCCAGGTGAGAAGGCAAAAATGTCAATCAGGATTCGCATACATATTATCCTCGCGTGATCGGCGACTTTTATTTCTATATGTATATAGGATTTCATCCCCCCAAAAGTGATCGGGAATCGGGCAAACTCTTTTTGATTCGCCAGGATCGAAGCAATCAGACCTCTGCGATCTGTGTTGACATATTTTGCCCAAAAAGGGGAAAAGGTGTTTGCTCACGGCCTTAATCCTGTCGATCCTTTTGGGGCGTCACGATCAACGCTTCGATTGCCAATCCTTTCCAGCGACTGCCAATCGTGCGATCAGCACGTGGCGATGTTCCTGGCTTTATCAATCTAAGAGGGATGGAAATCATATTTTAAAAATAATTTCTCTTACTAATTTTGAAAGAATAAGTACCGCTTTTAATTATATTCTTAATAAGGAATCATTTTAAACGGAAAAGAACAGATTCGGAGAGGTTTTATGCCAACTCAATTGGTCTCTAAGATATTGTAGAGTCTTGTCTGAATTTTTTCATCTTATAAAATCCTAAAATCTTTAGCAACTTAACTAAAATATAGAATTTTTCAAAAATGTTTCTGTAAAATAATTTCAGAGACTTCACTACATAGAAATTTGTTCCATAAACCAACTTGTTTTTGTGGTTGCCAAAGGCTATTTACTTTTTAAAGATCCTTTTAGGAAATCTTTTTTAGAGCCTTGAAAATAATTAAAATATTTAATTCAGGTATTCAGGATCTATAAGAAACATTATTCTTGATATGCATAAATTCAGTGTTTAATTGCATTAATTTTTAGTTGATATACACTCCAAAGTAAACTTTATTTTTACAAATTCCCAGTGAAGGAATCATTTCCGACCCTATAAATCATATATATTATTGATCAGCATCAAAAACCGAATCGATCTTGCTATTTTTGTAGGAAAATGAATTTTTATGAATTTTTTGAAAATTTTATAAGGGGTTACATCGTTAAAATTATCAAAAATACGAAAAAAAATTGAAATTTCGACATTTTTAAACTGAGTATGCAGATTTATTAACCGACTAAAAACTAGCATAGAACTGATTTCCGAATTGAAATTAATGCATTTTTAGTCAAGTTATGATATTTTTAAAATATGATATTTCCCTTAAAAAATGATCATTTAAAAATATCAATTAAAGTTGCTATTATTTAAGTTCCTATAATTAATATATTTTTAGGTTATTTTGATGGTATATAAATGCAAAAAAACAAATGATTCACACATATTAATAGCCATATCGATTCGTTATTAGAATCTTTATAAAATAATATAAAATATTGAGTCAGAGACTTCACTTAATATGCATTTTTTGAATAATTTAGCTTGTAACTTTGGGTTTATCAAGGGCTATTTTCTTTTTAAAGCCTTATAAATTCTTAAAAATATATAATTCAGACAGCCACGATTTATAAGGAGCACTATAAATGATATGAAGAGCTTTAAATATGTATAATAGAGACCTTAAAGCTATAGAAATGGGGTCGAAAGTCAATACAGATCGTGGGACTATGCTGGGGTTTGCAGATCGTGGATCGAGGTTCAGAGATCAGAGAGCGGGAATCAGGGATCAGAGCTCTGTGATCAGTGATCACAGAAATGAGATCATCGGAGGCACTGCTAGCTTTAGTGGGCATGACCAGTGGCTTTCCAACAGCTACCTAGGAGGGGATATTCAAAACCTCCCGTGGCCCAGTTCCCAGCTCTAAACTCTCTCAGAGAAATGCTGAGATGCTCAAGTGATTTGGCAATTGACCTAACAATTGGGCTAAGCGCACGATCAGTGCGCTGAGAATCCGGGAATCTGGGTGATCTAGACTTCTAATCTTATGGATTTACGTGAAACTTTTGCAATCGAGAACTGGCCCCGATGCCGAGAGCATTATGTGGCAATATACGAGCAGGCGAGTGGCCTAATCTGGCGGACTGGACTGATCCACGAGGAGATCCTTCGGGCGTAAGCTGAGATTAAATTAAAGTGTCGCAGGAGGCATGAGGCATGAGGCATGAGGCAGAGGCAGGAGGCAGGAGCGGTGGGCTTGGCCGGGACTCACCTCTGTTTTGCGCTAAATCCCCCGTACCAACGGCCTAATCCTTTCGCTCACATGAACCATGTGACCCAGTAACCCAGTTACAAACAGTGACCTGAGCTACCTGAGCCGCGCACTGATCCCGATACCGTTTCCCGATCCCAATCCTTATCCCAGGACCATGCAACACTCGCACTGCTCTGCGCTACACACGAATTAACCTGATTAAAATTGTATTTTTCCCAAATTTATGGGATTAAGTTCCGTTCAAGTTCCTTTAACTCGTTTAAGCTACCGGATTTAGTTCAAGTGCGAGTGCGAGATCGCTCTGGATTCTGGATTCTGGATTCTGGATTCTGGATTTTGGATTCTGTATTCTGAACGCAGGCCGCGCACCTTCTTTGAGCCCACTTTTATTGGGCTGGCTTAATTAGCACAATTGTTTACAAAATTTACCTTTCGTCATGCAGCAGCATCGCAGGATACCAAGATCCTTACAGGATCCTCGCTGCCTTTGCTCGGTGTGTGAAATCCATGGCACGCACACGCCCACAGCTCGAAGTGGGTTTTGAGTTTAGAATTTAGAGTTTAGAGTTTAGAAACCGGAATCCGGACTGGAAAGCATCTCTGCCTACTATGTGTGAACTGATCGGATTGCAATTCCATTTAAAAATTAGTCTAATCCAGAGCAAAAGAAGCTGGGCCAGAGACAAAACCATTCCTTAAGTAGAGTGAGCCAAATGTTCTAGCGATTTCCATTTGACCATCAATTAGCTTTCGCAATTTCAAAATCAAAGATTAAATTGAGGCAATGTTCTCTGCAGGTGATTGAATTATTAACTATACTTTTACTGTACTAACTTGCTAAAATAACTCTTCAAAAATCTTCAAAAGTCTGATTCTCTCAAAACCAAAATTTGTATATCTTTTCAGGGTATTACAAGGTTAGTCAGAAGCTTCTAACGCTATGAAAGAATTATTTCCGACCCTATAAATCGTATATATTCTTGATCAGTATCAAGTAGGAATCAATCTAGCCATATCCGGCAGAAAAAATATTTTTCAAAAATTTTTCAATTTTTAAAAACAAAAGGAAAGGGGTTTCATCGTTAAAATTAAATTAAAATCGTCCAAAAATTTGCATTCTAAATGGAGAATGCAGTTTTATTAACTTACTAAAAACTAAAAACATACGAATGCTTTCCGAATTGAAATTAATGCATTTTTGGCCTAGTTATGCGATTTTTAAAACTATGATTTTCATATAAAATTGTCATAAAAATATAGTTAATATTGATGTATAATTGGTATTGCCCCTTCAGTCAGAAGCTTAAAAGAAAGTGAAGGAGGCATTTCCGACCCTATAAATTATATATATTCTTGATCAGCATCAACCGGGGATTCGATCTAGGCATGTCCGGGAGAAAACAAATTTTTTCGATTTTTTTTTAAAATTTTATAAGGGGTAACATCGTTAAAATTGTCAAAAATTGGGCAAAAATTATATTTTTTAAGATTATAAATTAAGTATGCAGATTTATTAACCCAACAAAAACTAACAGAGGCCCGTTGTCCAAATTTAAATGAATGCCTTTTTGGCTTAGGTATGAGTTTTTTAAGATTTGATTTTTAGGAAAAATTTTCATATAAAAGTATTGGTAAATATCGACAAAAAAATGGTATTAAAATTTTAGTCGGGAGCGTAAAACGCAGTGAAGCTGTCATTTCCGACCCCATAAAATATATATATTCTTGATCAGCATCAGCAGGCGAATCTTTCTAGCCACCTTCGAGAGAAACAATTTTTTTTTAATTTTTTCAATATTTTATAAGGGGTTACATCATTAAAATGATCAAAAATTGGCCAAAAATTGAATTTTTGAAAATTTTAAACTGAGTATGCAGATTTATTACGCTATCAAAAACTAACATAGCACAACTTTCCGAATTGAAATTAATGCTTTTTTGGCTGAGTTATTAATTTTTTAATTATTGATTTATCCCACATAAAAATAAATGCTTTTATTTTTTAACATAAGCTTAAACCTTGCCCGAAGTAACTTGGGATCTAATAAAGCTACCTTAGCAGGACTTCGTATAAGGTCTTAGGTCAGAGTAATATATACTATATATCAAAATTAGTGCACCAAATAGATATTTAAGCAGAACTTGGTATAGAACTCTTCTGAAGTGTATAATATATCATATAACAAAGTGTATCTAAGTCCCAGCACTAGCAAAAAAATATCTTAAGTAACTTGGGCTAAGATGTACCTACTTTAGCAAAAGTTGGTAGAGAGTGACTATTTAAAAATATATTATTTCATATACAGAAATTGATATGAATCTCTTCAAGAAAATGAAGTAACTAAACCCTTAAATAAACGCAACTTTAAAATCAGCTAAATATATATTTATATAAATATGAAATAGCTACATATTATTTCTTTAAAATATGTTACTCGATAAGTCCATCTTATCTTGACTCATGTCTGCAGTCTGTTACCAATGTACAAACTATTATTTATTATTATTCTTAGATGCTCGCACAGTGAAAACATGGGACATGAGGCTATTTTAAGTAAGTTTGGACTACTCGGTATGGCCTCTGGTGGCAGCTGTAAAGGCTTAAAGAGAGGTCCTCGATTGGCGCCTGGTCAGGGATTGGGACTTGGACTGAGACTCAGTTCCCTAGAAGGCGACGACACAAATTTTGCGCTTAAGCAAATAAAAACAAATATTTTTGTGGGTAAAAACAAACCGCAGACGTGGTTGATTCCGTTGGCCCTTAAAAGGCCTGTTGGTCATAGAAAAACAAATCGTTTGTATATCCTGTGGAACACACGTGCCCCTTGCCCACTTATTATATTTTCATTGGCCCTCACAGATCCGAGTTTTCAACTTCCAACTCCTTCGCCTTGGAATAACAAAAACGCAAGTCAAGGCAAGGCAAGGCAAGTCATGGATTTTGAATGCCTTTTTCCCCGCACATAAAGTTGCAATATGTTGTGTATTAGAAGTCAGAGCATAGTCTCGATCCATTCTAGATCCGGACTTCGATCCTAGATCCCCGATTCCCGATCCCATTGAGAACCAAACGCACGCGAGCGGAGACGCCCCCTCGAGATTAATGAGGATGTGCGGCGTTTTGTTTACTCTGCTTTATAGCGACGAGGCATATTCCCCGAGTCCCTTCGAGTCCTGATTCCTAGCTCGAATCCTTTCACTGGACATTGGGCATGAGCCACATGTGTTCCTTTTTCCAGCTGCTGACCACACTGGACACTGGAGACACCGATCACTGTGACTGCTCATTAGGCAGCCTTCCACTTAACCATGAGTTGGCTCTTTTTTGCATCTTTGATAAATTAACCAAGAACATTCAACAATGGGAGTTTGGCTCGTGTGTATCCTCAAGGAACTCGCTTCTGCAGCGGCTATTCGGATATGATTTCTTTGGCTACGGTTCAAGACAAGCTGGGGACATGTTCAAAGGTCTCCGACTATCAGCTCAAAAACTAACTTAGGTAACTTGGGAACGGATGCTTTAAACCAAGCTGGATTTGGTATAGCTTCTTGATTTAGATTGGAATTATATACCAAAGTTGGTATTAACTCCTGCACTAACCTCAAGTAACTTGGAACCTGCAGCAGCTTTTTAAGCAAGACTTGGTATAGAATGAGTAAAATAGCGTAAACAAAAAACTCACCCGAAGTAACTTGGGGTTCAGCAGCAGTTTCCTTAGCAGAATTTGGTATATGGTCTTGGTTCGGAGTAAAATATATACTCTATACAAAAGATATAAGTTCCTAAAATAAATAGATAATATCTTAAGTAACTTGGGATATTCAGAAGCTATTTTAATGCGGTTTCATGCAAGTTGCAGTTGTGATGCTAAAGATATCGTATACCAAAAATCAATTAAATTAATTATCAAGTTTTCATGTTATTCTAAATAGCTCGATAAATTAATATAAATATATTTTATATATAAATATACTAAGCAAAAGAAACAAATAATCACCACAAAAACTAACCTAGAGATTAGCCACAAAAGGCATTGAGATGCAGTCTGGCATAACCCAAAATCGATTCGTTTGCCACACTCCTAAGAGAAAGGATCAGGCCAGGGGATTCGTGGTAGGCGTTGGTCGAGAAACTTTCTTCCTGCAGCAGTTTCCTACGAATCCTTTGCCAGCCAACAATTAGTCGTGTGGCTCGTGTACCGAAACAATTCCACAGTCAGCGGTCCTTGGTCCTAACTTTGCTCCTAATTATGCGCCGAAAAATTGAGCGCCTCAAATTACACGCAGGACAAAAACGCAACATGAGCCAGGGAAATGGTAAAATGGGAAATGGAAAATTGTAGTAATGCTAATGGTTATTTGGAGTTGAAAATGCACATGCAAATGCCATTCGAGTTAATTAATCACGGCAAAACTTCTTGTGGCAAATTGTATGCAAAGGAGGGGGAGCCAGATCAAATCAACCGGAACCGAGGATCATTAGGAGTCCTGTCCCCGAGTTCCAGGATAAGATGGCGTGGCATATGTGAGTGAGTGCCTCCCTTTGAGAGAGAGAGTGGAAAACCCTGGCTAATGGACTCCGCTGACAGGCGAAACAATATAGAAGATTTTATATATGTAGAGTAAGATTTACTTTGTTTCTCAAAAGGAAGATATATACAGTTGATGGGTTCCCAGCAGCAAACTCTTTTCACTTTTCGCTCCACTGATCTCTGTTTGCAAACAGATCCTGATATTGACAAAAAGATAATCGAAGGGTAAGACAGGAAGTGGATCTCGATTCTTCTTCCACTTGTCTGGCCACAAATTCGAGGTCGACTGACCAGATAATCTTATAATATTTGAGGTGCTCTCTCACCCTCTCAGGTTTCCTCTTGGTTTATATACCTTATATCGATGACAAAGGTTCGAAGCTAAAGTTAGAGGTAAGCCAGAATCGATTTAGGAGACCAAAAAGTAGGAGTTATTTGGCCTAATTCCGGGTAACCCCAATAAATGTGTCAACGCACCAAATTGATGAATGAAGCGAGTCTATTTCTGTCTTTCCCCCGCTGGGTTGGATTTTCCCCCACAAAACAAAAAACACAGAAGGGGTTGACACTGGCAGTTGTAGGAAATTGCCAAAAGTGACCGCAAAATCCCACCGAGCAACCACTTGTAATCAACCCAACTCAGTCCAGTCTCTGCCTCATCTTCCTCTCCACCCCCAACTCTGTCCAGTCTTTGTTATCATTAAGCAACCGGCGGAAAGTAAAGGGAATCCTAACCCGAATCTGAGACATAGAACCCTTTCATTTGCGATAATGAAAGTGCCCCCGATGCTGTCTGTCGCCTGCTATTTATTTATTAAATGCAAGACTCTCCCTCGCTGGACAATGGACTGGGACTGGGACTGAGACTGGCTCTGGGTCAGCTGGCACAGCTGTCACATTTTCCCTAAGCCCATCTCTGGACCCGTCACCCACTATAGTTCTATATATATATATATATATATATATATATACATATATGGTGTCCCCCATCATGTTGTCTTCTATATGTTCTGGCTTTAATGAAGTTGCCGGAGATTCATGGCACGGAAACCAGTTTCCCATTTAGCATTCACACACAAAATGAAGTCATGGTGGTGGTTTCTCACACAGCTGTGGCTTCAGCCTCTGATTGGCTGTCCTGAATGATTCCTTGGCGAGTCCTTGGTTAGGAGTTTTGCACACAGAGTTTACGATATATCATTGAGGAGGCACAAATTATATCGCCATCAAAATGGCGCAATCTCTGGCAATGGAGGATATCATGTAATATGAAGATATAAGATCAAAGATCTATAGGAATTTCTTGTTATTTTGGGATTTAAGTATCTTGAATAGTTGTTTTATATTGTATAATATTTAAACTTGTTTTTTAGTTGCATTTAGTTGCATATTTAATGGTTGTACTTAGTAATTCGATATTAACTTAAGCCTCTTAAAAATGCTAGCTTTTCTTTGTTTTAACTTTTATTATATTGCTATAATTTAAGCATATATGTTATATATTATTATGCAAATTTTATAAAATATTTTATCTAAATAGTTTTATTAGATTATTATTTGGATATATCAAGGGTCTATAGAAGATATTCAAGCTTGATTCACTCAAAGATCTGGCAATTGTTTATAGATGGAAGTTACTGAGCATTTATAAGCCTGACTATTTTTTCCTGATCGAAATGCTTTTTAAATAATTAATATATTCCTTATACTATGCTAAAGTATCCTACTAAATTACTTTATGTATATTATGCATATATTTTAAATATTGAATTCTATTTAGAAGACCTTTCATAGACGATCTTGAATACGAGCAATCACATTTATCACTTGAATGACTGTCCTACGATTTTAATATGAATAAAAAGGATACAGAAATAGTAAATATTTTTGAGACTAATATAAAATTATTTAGAATATATAATTATAATATTAAACCCTGCAAACTATTATCATTTATTGTCTTATTTTGTTAAGAACTTAAATGTCTAAAATAATTATGATAAAAAAAGACATTTTCCTGTAGTTAAAAAGAATAAAAGACCAACTTCAGCAGCCTGATCCTGGCTTGATCCTGGCTAGCCAAAACTAGCTTAACTTCACTTCACTCTCCAGGCTAAAGTCACGTCACATTCTCGAATCGAACCCGGCTTTGTAGATCTCCCAGGATTACATATTCCACACTACGCAATATTATGCGAGATTAACTTGAGGCCGCCAGATAGTCAGGCTTAGTCTGCTTCGAACTCTGAACTCCGAACTCTGAGCTCTGATCTTCGAGCTGAGAAAGTTACCTGCCGCAAATGGTGACTAGTCACCTGTCGGATCAAGCCCGTGCTCGCCCTGAGCTTCCCTCAAAATATTTATGTTGCCCTTCTCAGAAGATGAAAAAAATAAAACTGCACTTTTGCAGATGAAAATGAAAATTATGAAATGATATGCGAGCCATAATTTTGCGGGAAATGCAGGACAATAGCCTTAACGGCAAATGGGAAACGGGGAAATGGGAAATGGTAAATGGTAAATGAAAAATGTAAATGGGAAATGCAAAATGGAAAAATGACAAAAACGGCAAATGGCACATTTTGCCACCTACAAAACTCGGCTCACAAAAGGCTTAAACCGCTTAAAGACCGTTTAATCTTGTGGATTTCACGGCTCTGTCGTTTTTAGTTTCATGTGAAAAAAAAAAACTGAAGAGGACTCCGAGACTCGAGACTCGGAAATTGGCAAGCCAAAAGGCAAAAATCGAGGACTCTCGAGGAGGAGATCCCGGAACGGAAGAGCGGATACAATGGGCGTAACCCTGGCCAGGTTAAGTGCTCATATTACGAGCTGGCCAGGAGTGACTGACTCCTTGAAAGAAGGAAGAAAAAAAAAGAGTTAGGCGGAACGGGGCTTAGGGGTTTTACCCAAAAACCCCTGTGCTCCTTATTCTTTTTCCCAATGATTTCGATTGTATCTGGGCAGCATCCGTTCTGGAGATCTTGCTGCCAGGATATGCTGATCGAGAGATGGTGCGAACTGACAATTGACACAATTACCAGGACCAGGACCAGGACCCGGACCTAGAGGAGGTGTCCACAGAAACCACTGCAATGTCATTTTGACAGCCGTTATTGTCCTGGAATGGCAACGGGAATCGAGGATTGACGATCTGGATGAGAAGGAGGAGTAACAGTAGCCTGTCCGAGGAGCCATTCTAACGGGGTTTTGTAGGCGGCTTTGCACCGAAATCCAAAAACAATAAGACAAAAGGTGCTGAAAGGATGCGAAATCACAAAAGGTGTGAAAAGTGTTCAAGAGCCGCTTGATAGATTCGAGTTTTGAATGGGGGTGTGAGAGACAATCGCACAACTCTTTTTATGTGGGTCCCAGGCACTTTGATTAACTCCCGGGATTCCCCTACCCCCGACCCAGGAGATTCCCGGGAATCTGGCATCTAACGGTCTAACCCGCTAGCCACACAATGAAAGATGGCAGCTAATCAACAGTAAAATGCATAAAATTAAGTGAGCAATGAAGGGGGATTACTCTGGCAATGAGGGTTCGCTTTCTCTCTATCTCTTTCACTGTCTCTATTTCCATCTCTCTCTCTCTCTCTCTGTCTCTGCTCCGGATCTCGAGTTATTAAAAATGTTTCACATTTTCCAACATAACTGTACAGATATAGGAAAAACGTGTGAGTGAGTGTGGGAGCGTGAGGGAACCTAGGACAATGGCCTAAACGTTGACAGTTCGTCAAATCGAATGATGCATGCAAAATGAAGAATTCAATTCCCGCAATATATATACAAAGATACGAGTTGTATGGATATGCACTGAGAGAAGTTACCAAATATCTTCTTAAATATAAGAAATTTAAATTTAAGAAATATCCGAGAGAAGTCTTAGGAATGCTAACAAATATCTTTATAAATATATGGAAATAAAGTTAAAGATATATGTTTTAGAATTCTTTTAAAAAGAATTCTATTTATTACAATTACAACTATATGATGGTATAGAAAATATATCATAATTAAGCTTAAAATATTCTCATTCTTTGAATAGATATTTTTATATGACAATTCTTACGAAAAATCAAACCGTAAAATACTCATAACTAAGGCAAAAAAGCATCAATTTTCATTCGGAAAGCTTTCCTATGTTAATTTTCATTGGCTTAATAAATCTGCATACTCAATTTAAAATTTTTAAAATTTCAATTTTTTTTACAATTTTAACCCCTTTTCTATTTAAAAAAAAATCGAAATTTGTAAAAAATATTTTTTTCTTTTGGAGATAGCTAGAAAGATTCCCCGCTTAATGCTGATCAAGAATATATATAGTTTATAGGGTCGGAAAGAACTGCTTCTGACTGAAATTATAATACCATATTTTTAAATAATATTTATAGATATTTTTATATGACAATTTTTACAAAAAATCATACCTTAAAAAACTCATAACTAAGCCAAAAATTAATTAATTTTGATTTAGAAATTGCTCCAATGTTAGTTTTTAGAAGGTTAACAAATTTGCATACTCAATTTCAAATTTAAAAAAAATTCAAATTTTGATCAATTTTTGAAAATTTTAATGATGTAACCCCTTATAAAATTAGCATAAAAAAATTTTAAAAATGTGTTTCTTCCAAACGTGCTCAGATCGATTTGCCTGTTATTGCTGATCAAGAATATATATGATTTATAGGGTCTGAAAAGACTACATCACTTAGTTTTATGCTTCTGAAAATAATCTTCCACTTGTTTCCCCCAATTTTTCCCAGTGCACACTGATATCCCACACAGAATAACAGTTACTGGCACAGAGACACAGTGTTTTCCTGATCAGCCATGAAATGTGGCTATCCTTTTGGATTGCCTTCCTTGCAGGACGATGGGCGTTGACAAGAACACACCCCTGGCATTGCTCATACCTCATACCTCATCGCTCATCGCATCCTGACTCGCAGGATCCTTGGAGATCCTTGGAGAACGGGGAACAACAACGGTTACAATGCGAGTGACGTAAGGAAGTAGCAAGTTAGTTTTGCCCATTTAAATGACACTCGTCCATTGAGGTCTTTGTGCATCGATTTGACGAGCATTATTCGATTGTTGTGTGGGGTCCCACACACTCACTGTTTTGCTATTTAATAGTTGTTTTTCTGCCCATCGATCACCCCTAACCTTGGATCAGAGCCCTGAACTCTGGCCTTAATCTCGGACAAATAACGCCCCCACAAATACAACTCTTTATTCCTGGCAAATACTTTGAGACTTTGATCTCTTGATGTTTATTTAAGAAAGAGTAATTATTAGCTTGAGAGTATAGTGATCTTGAGCTTGGATTAGCTTTGATTTGGTTTAGGAACTTTGTTTGAGTCAGACACATCGACGCCTCATTGCAAGTAGAGATTAGGAATTAAAATTACTTATTTAATAATGGGAAATCAGTGTTTACATTAGAGAAGAAGCTGGAGTTGTTCAACCTTCAATAAACATGTTTATTTTCCTTAGTTGTTCTCTTTTGTGAACATGATTTTATTCTTACTCTTTCCTGTTAGTGATCAAGTTTATTCTCTGTTGCTATTTCATTAATATATATTAATTTCTTTCATTCTTTAGAAAGAAGTTAATTCTATTTGTTTTCTTCTATGAATATGTTTATGCTAGTTACTCCATCTCTTTAGGAAACGTGTTAATTTTGTTACTCTGTTTCTCTACAGATTTATTGAACTTAAGTTAAGTTCGGCTTCCCCCAATAACATTTATTTCTTGATATTAATTAAATTTGTTTTTCTTACACATTCTCTATAGAAGAAGTTATTTTATATAATCCTTCGTTCACTTAACATGTATCCTAAGAAATGTTTATTTCATTACTGCTTCCCTTAGTGAACAAGTTTATTCTCTAGACCTGTAATAAAAATGTTTATCCTACTTACTTCTCTTCAATATGGGAAACACATTCATTATATTTATATTGTGCCTCAACTATTACTAAACATATTCAATTACCCAAAAGAACAAATCATTTTTGGGGTTCACCTCAATCATTCCTGACCAAAAAAAAACCTAAAAACCCATTAGGAAAGATAATGTCCGCGAGACAAAACTAATCCTTGCTGGCAGTCTGACCAAATGTCCTTTGCTTACTCTACTCGCCATTCGTAATCAAAACCACAGTAATTGGCATAGTAATGCAATACTGGTTCGAGAATATATATATATATACCCGGACATTGAGATTGAGAGGATATGGAGATGGAGATATATACGCTTCGATGGTTGCTGGTCATGAATGGGAATGGGATCTGTGGATCCGGATTCTGTCTCAATTAAGGAGATGCCATAATTGAGCAGCCTAAGGATTTGGCCATAGGATAACAATTAGCAAAAGGATTTGACGACGGAAGCTGCCGCCATTGTGCCGAGATACTCCTTGTACTTAACTTGTGTCTTTTTGGTCTCCTTGGCTGTGCACTTCCGTTTGCGGAAGTGGCTAATACCTGTTCCTGGCTACTGTTGCCATTATCTTCGGCCAAGTGTGCACTTTGCATATGGCAAAAATGAAAACAAACAAGGGATCCTTAAACCCCGATCCTGGTTAGTCTTTTTAGGCATTGTCTGGAGGAGCACGTGTAATCCCCGCTCTCACTTCCTCGACGACTGACTACTTACTTCCTCATTAGGATGTCCGATGGGAAGGAGTCGGGACACTTCAGGCGAATTGCCTGATGGGCTTAGGCTTCATGGCTTCCATGGCCCAGGACTAATCATATATTCAGGCACTCGTAGTTTTGCGGCTAATCTTATTTCATTTTAACAATATTTCAAAGGGAAAAGAGAGAGAGTGTAGTCTCTTCTTCAATGAAAGAAATCTATAAACACTTTCTAGAGTTATTTAAATTGTGCTCAATTCATGTTATACATAAATATTATATAGAAATATTACTGATCTTTGCTTAAGAGTATCTTAAGATATAGATAGGGCAGTATAAATCTCTTGGTATAGATTAATAAATAGTAATACTTTATACCTAGTTAGATATTTTATACCGATTTCTTTCCTAAACCATTTCTATTATATTTTCTGCGAAACAAAATGGTTTCCCTTTGCCATAGCCAAACCAAACCCTAAAAAGGACCTTTCACATTATGCATTCCAAATGTTAACCCATTAAGACAAAGGACCGCGAAAGGAGTTAACAGCAATTCCGCGAAGCCTCACCCTTTTTATTTCAATATATTTTCATATATATATTGTACATATTTTTATTATTTTTTGGGCCATATAAGGCGAAACCCCTTTCAGTCAATTAGTCGCTGATTTTCTTTGTGCTCGTCGCCTGACAGCGAGCCAATATACATATATAAATAATAAAACTGACGTCTAAAATGGGAACCCTTTTTTTTACAGGACACAGGACCTCAGAACCTCAGGCTCTGCGAACTCCTAGACCTTGGTTTATGACCAGCTAAAAAACAGCAGCTCTGGTCCTTTTGGGAATCGGGACTCGTCCTAGGTTTTCGCTCGAACACTTCATTATGCAATAAAACTCTCGCCGTTTTTAGGCAATATCTATGCCATATAATGGTGAGCAACCCGTTCGGCGGCTCTACCTGATCCTCGATCTCGTAAAAAACGCGCTCAAGGTCATCGAAAGGATTGCACAAATATTGCATCTTTGGTCCTAGAGCTCATTATGGGCCCGTTTTTTTTTTACAGTTTGCCAGGTTTGTTTGTTTTTTCGCTGAATCTGGTTTTTACCATGAATTTGGCAACTCTTTTTGGCTTCGAGACTCTGGCCGCGACTTTTTATGGCCCTGGCCCAGACCCAGGCCACGGAGGACCTCCAGAAGGACCTCCGGAGCTAGGCAGGTAAGCAACTCTAAAGGCTAAATGAAACAGAACGGTTGCGGGAAAGGGAAAGGCGGAATTTTAGTTTAATCCACCATTTTTACGGTTGGATTAGTGCGTGGATTAGCGGATAAGTTCGCGGTTTTTTACTGATTACTGAATCGGTGCCGAGAACCCTCTTTTTATATTTGCAAACTGAATGGGATTTGGGCTGTAAAAAGTGAATGAATGAGTGAGTTTAATTCTTGAATTGCAAGAGAAGAGGTACAGATCATATTTATATAGTTAAGAGATCAGAGTCCCATTCCCATGACTCGTAAGCCACTTCCGTTGGCCAAGTTAAACAAGACCAGACAAGACAAGGACAGCGGAAGACGATAAAGGTTAAAGGATATGCCAGAAAAAAGGATGCTCAAGTGGGTCGACAAACATAACGGACACTTGTCGCAACGATCCTGCCGAAAGAGTGGCCACGTCGGCGTCATGAATCAAATCAAATCAAATAACTCAGAGTCCAGACTCCTTCCCGCGCGAAGGACACTCGCTTCTGGGATTCTGGGAAACCTATGCAACGTATGCAAAACTCGACCTAATTTCCATAATTTGTCACGCACAAATTTGCATTTTTGTGCAAGATTTTCTGTCCAACGAAAATTCGCAGGCCGGCAGGCGCGCATCCTTCGCTGGTCAGCGGAAGGATTTGCAGGACAATAGTTGAAAACAAAACGGATTTAGCATTCGCAACCCTTGAGCATTGTGCATCTATCATCAGCAAAGCCCTACTCCGTCTGCGTATCCTTTCGCAAATATCCTTTTGCTGTGCTAACGCCTCCTCCTCCTACTCCTCCTATACTTTTCTGGCAGGACACGCTCCCTGCTGATATAGCCAGAAAAATGATTTGGTCCTAATGAGATATATTCCAGAATCGAGCAGGGGTTAAAGACGAGTAAAGACAACTTTAATTATAGATTGGATTTGAATTGATATGTAAAAAGGAATATATAATATGCTAGGATTTCAGGAAATACTTTTGATATTTTCCAAGGAGAGACATTGGAAATTGATATAGAAATTATATAAGTATCATCATTCTATACATACCTTATGATCAATTATAAAGGATATTACATATTTCCGGGTGTTCTTAGTTCCTCCTTGGTTTTTTTGTTTTTTTCAATCATATTTACATGAAGAAACGCTGGAAAATAATATATATTATATATTATAATCGTATAAAACAATTTAATACATGTATGAATTTAACAAAAAGTATCCTAGGAAATTGATATTCAAACAGTATAAGAATACTTATATATTTTGATAAAATGTAAAGGCTTCTTGTAAATGTATTACAAGGATTTCAAGGATTCCTCTTATTATTTTCTATAAATTTAACAAGAAGAAACCTCTACCCTATATATCAAAATAAATATATAATAATTACTATTAATATCTTAGTTCAACACTTTTTCTCTAAAAAAAACCGAAATAAATCTAGTCAATTTCTTCTTAAAAACATCAAAACCATTGCATACCCTACTTTTAGTTTTAGTTTAGTTTTCATAGAAGACTTCCTTTATCGCCTTCGAATTTCCCTGATTTCCCTCATTGAGCTGCCTCCCATATAACCCTTGAGAAAAAACAAACACCAATATCCTTTCGCGGAAACTGTTTTGAAATTTATAATAAAAAAATATGAGAGAAAACTCTTTCTTTTTTATATTCTCTTACTTCTCGTTTTGTGAAATTACGCTAAATGGCGAGGCAACAATGGACAAAGGGACCAAGGAGGAGATTTTCGCGAAAAATGCGAAAAGCCAGACCCGTTAGTTACCCTTGTAAAAGAAAACCCTTTGAGGGCAGTGGGAAAGAGACGGCACCAGGAGTCACCCCTTTGCACAGTTCGGCTACCTGCTCGTGCCGCTTCGGCTGACACTTCGTGTCCGCCATTTGCGCAGCAGCCGAAGGTTAGCCGACCGTTAGCCGACGAAGCCGAGGCAGCGTATAAAAGCCGAGCTGGGCCGAGGAAGGAAATCAGTTTACGTACGACATCGTCAGCGTAAAGATATAGACACACACACATATAGACAAAAGGATCATAAACGGAAACGGAAATCCATCCGCAAAACAGATCTAGACACGCACACAAAGTTGGATAAAGGAAGTGGTGAAACATGTTGATGCACGAGAAACTTATGGCCGGGCAGTTCTTCGATCTCAAGACTGGTAAGTAGCAACACTAAAGAAAATTAGGAGTTATTCCATATAAAATCATGTAAAAATAAAGACTAAATGATGGAGATTTTAAAATTGATATAGAAACATTAAACTAACCCACAATTCCCTCTTCTTTACAGATCGCAAGCCCCTGATGCACCACCATCAGTTCCAGCAACATCACCAGCAGCAGCAGCAGCAACAACAGCAGCATGCCCAGCAGCAGCAGCATCATCACCACCAATCCCTGGGTCAGCCACTGCACCATCACCAGGCCCAGCTGGGTTTGCCCCATGCCGTTGGCCTGCCCAAGATGGATCTCTATGCAGCCTATGCCTACCAGCAGCAATTGCTGGGTGCTGCTCTCAGCCAGCAGCAGCAGCAGCAGCGGGAACGAGAGCAACAGCCGGCTCCTGCCGAGGTCCTGGATCTCTCCCGTCGCTGCGACAGTGTGGAGACACCCAGGAAGACCCCATCACCCTACCAGACAAGCTACAGCTATGGCAGTGGCTCACCCTCAACCTCGCCCACCTCCAGCCTGATGTATCTCCAGCAGCAGCAGCAGCAGCAACAGCAGCAGCAGCAACTGGCCTCCCTGTATCCCGGCTTCTACTACGGCAACATCAAGCAGGAGCAGCAGCAGCAACAGATCCAAATCCCCAAGGAGCAGTCTGCTCCACTAAAGGTCACACCCACGGCCAGTTTGCTGCAGACCTTTGCCGCCGCCGCTGCAGCAGCTGCCTCCAATCCTCGCCCGGCTAGCAATGCCAGCCATGCCAGCACCATGCAGATTGATGTGCTCGAGAATCCCCAGTCGCCGCCCAGCTCTAACCCTTCGTCCTGTGTACCAGCCACCACCCCGACCAGCTCCAGCTCCAGTTCCCAGCAACCTGGTGATGCGGGCAAGAGCACGCGTCCCTTCAAGGCCTTCCCCCGGGATCCTCTGGTGATTGCTGCCAACTTCGCGGCCACCGATGTCCTGCTGGACAATCCTCGTGTGGAACGCTATACCGAGTATCGTAAGCGGGTGCTGGAGCAGATTCGCAGCTCCAATGGCGGTGCTCGCACGGTGACCAACCCCAAGATGAGGAGGACCAACTCACGCAGCGGCTCTGTCAATGAGGGCAGCTCCTCGAACAACAACAGCGAGAGCGAGGATCGAGCAGCGGCCGAGGAGTCCAGCGACTGCGACTCGCAGGCTGGCCACTTCGAGGGCAAGTCATCATCATCCATCTCCTCCGCCACAAATGCCAATGGCTCGACGAACTCGGCCATCGCTGGTAGCCACTGCTCAGCCTCGTCTTCGTCCTCCTCCGGCGGACTGGGCGTGGGCCAGGTGAAGGATGCTGCCTACTATGAGAGGCGGCGCAAGAATAATGCCGCCGCCAAGAAGTCGAGGGATCGTCGCCGCATCAAGGAGGACGAGATTGCCATCCGGGCTGCCTATCTGGAGCGCCAGAATATTGAGCTGCTCTGCCAGATCGACGCCCTGAAGGCACAGCTAGCGGCCTTCACCGCCAAGGTGGCCTAGGATGCCAGCTCCTTGGAGGCTGCCCAGTCCGGCTGCTCTTGTTGCGTTGAACGCGAAGATTCGGCTTCGATTCTACATTATTTTATTATATATATATAGATTTTTTTTGGGTCAGCTTATCTGTGAATATCTTGCGAACTGAGCTGACCGGAGGACACACTCGCATTTAAGTACTCCAAGACCTTGTCACCAACGTTATTATATTTGTGAAATGCCCTAGCCCTAGTAAGTGCATCGCGCCATTAACCAGTTGACTAATCAATCGCAGCATCGATTAGCCTTTAGTCTAGCCCTAGTTTAAGTCTCGGTCTCAGCACGCTTAGATTTAAGGACATTTTTTTGAATAGCCCTAAGTACAAAAAATTACAAAAATAAAAAACTAAAAACAAATAATTGAATTGGTTTTTTCTTTAAATTATTTACTTTCTTAACTGTTTTCCAACAGATAAATGAAGTATGATTGAAAAGACATTAATCTTGGATTATTGAATGAAATTTTGATTGAATTTCCATCAAGAGAAATAGCATAATTTCTAGTTTCTTTTGCATGTTTTAATTTAGGAAAAAATAAAACTAAGCAATTAGAGAAAACAAGTTCATTGAAATATTTATAATACCCTTGCAGAGTATTATAATTTCAGTCAAAAGCTTAAGACTCAGTGAAGGAGTCATTTCCGAACCTATGTATTATATACATTCTAGGTCAGCATCGAAAGGCGAATCTTTTTAGCTATCTTTGGGGATATCAAAAATTTTATAAATTTGTTCAACATTTTATACATCGTTAAAATTTTCAAAAATTCTTAAAAATTTTAATTGTAAATAGAGTATGCAGATTTATTAACCTTATAAAAACTTACATAGGAGCGTGTTCTAAATTAAAATTAATGGCTTTTTGGCTTAGTTATGAGAATTTAAATATTTGATTTTCCGAAAAAAAATGGTCATATAAAATTGTTGATAAATATATATTTATTGAATGTAAATACTATACGCCAAGATAAAATATATTTCCGATTTTGTCCTATAATACAATTGCAAACGGAAAGTTTAAATACCCCTGCACTTTGTAATTGAATTGAATGTAAATTGAATAGGATCGTATCGTAAATGGATAATAACTAAGCTAAAAATAATTACATCCTTTAAATCAATATTCATCCATATTTTTCTATGAAGATTTTTAACACAAATCAAATATTTAAAAACGCATAACTAAGCCAAAAAGGCTTTAATTTCAATTCGGAAAGTTGTCCTAATTTAGTTTTTGATAAATTAATAAATCTGCATTCTCGATTTTAAAAAATTAAAATTTTGCAATTTTTTTTAAATTTTGACAATGTAACCCCTTTAATTTTTTTGAAAAAAATTGAAAATTAAAAAAAATATTTTTTTTCTCTCGGAGATAGCTAAAAAGATTTGCCTGTTGATGCTGATTAAGAATATATATGATTTATAGGGTCGGAAATGACTCATTCATTGAGTTTTAAGCTTCTGACTCCGTTAATAAGTCCCTGCAAGGCTATAAAAATATTCATTGCAATGCAGTTAACACAAAAACACATAAAAACATTTAGATGAATATTTTTAACCCAAGCTAATCACAAGCTAATTTTCACCGCCAAGGTCGTTTACGCATTAATCCGCCTTCTCTTGGGCGCTTGATTTATGTGTCTGCATTTGACGCACACACAACAGAGCAGCCCATAAATTTAAACAAAAACTATTAAGATATGCAACAATAAGTCAGGTGCAGCAATTGTTGCACCTACAAATATATATGTATGTACCTGAAAACATTTAAAATAATGATATGAAAAAATAATTATGTTATATACAGTGGGCAAAAATAAGTCTTAAATTAAAAGTCAGTATTTGCACTGTTTTCCCCATTGTACACACCTAACAGGATCAGTTATAGCTGCCTCTTTCCCGTCTTTACCAGAAATACAACAAAAATCAGCGAAATGACTTATCCCGTTAACTTGGACCCGCAACATATAGCTGACCCTCTCACTCCTACACAAGAAAAGAAAGACACAGCAAAGAGACGGCAAGAATTCCCATTGGGACCGAGAAGCCTCAAATTTGTTTGCAATTAGCAGCCTGCTGTAGCCTGAGGTCAAAATACACGCTAATGCCGCACATGCATTAGCCGCCCACACAATGGCGTTATTAATTGCAATTTGCGATCTTAACACGGCTCAAATCCATTCGAAATTCGCATTGAAATCGAAATTTAAGCGGTCGCCATCTTGCCAGAGCGAGCCGAACATGGGAGAGGGGGGTGGAGCAAGATTTAGCATCTACAGCAAATTAATAGCGCACATGACTAATTGGCAATCAATCAAGCTTTCATGTTTCTTCGCGCATTACTAAGCGAGTGCAGCACTCGATTTGCATATAGCTCAGTTATTACTCACCCCGCAGGCCAGGTTTCCAGAATCACAGATTGTTCACAAATTTTTGCACTTTTTTCTCTCTCACCGGCAACAAGTTTTTTTTTCCACTATGAAGTTTGGCGCCATTACAGAATTCGTGATTTTTTAGTACCAAGCAAAAGGCGTTAGTGAGTCGTGTAATCATCGGCTAAATGAACTGTTATCGATTATATATTTTTTTAATTACATGTGTAATAGGTTTGTTGTTTCTTTTTTAATAAAAGAAATCGAAAGGTATATCAAATTTAATATGTTGTACTTCTCAAATAATTGTTAATATTGTAAAATAATTAAATAAATAAGTTTGTTCAATTGAAGTTTAGCCATGTTCCGCACCTCAAAGTGCCTTCGCTAAGCAATACCGCATCGCCAACGCGTTAGGCCGTTTTTACTGCCAACCTGTTGTTGTTGATTCTCTGCTGATTGGGCGCGTCGTTTTGTTTTCCCGCTTTTCGTGCCCTCAGGAAAAATGTGTATTAATTGTTTTGTAGGCTGAAGATGGCGCAATACACGCCCCGCCAGGCGCTGGCCACGCCGGCCGCCCACGAGTTCGGGTTCCCGCACACTCCGTACGAAATCCAGGAGCAGCTGATGCAGGAACTCTTCCGGGTGTTGGAAAATGGTGGGCATATTCGAGAGTCCCACAGGCACCGGCAAGTCCCTGACCCTCACCTGCGGTGCCCTCACCTGGCTGGACCGACACGAGGCCCTGGTAAAGTCCGAAATGCTGGCGAGGATCGTTGCCGTCGAACAGGAGCTGGAAAAGTTGCAGACGGAAGGCGAGCGGGCGACCGACTGGCTGGAGGCTCAGGGTAAGTCCCGACTGCAGCGGGAGGAGCTTCAGAAGCTGCAACACGTACGGGGACTGCTGGAGAAGCGGGAACAGCAGCTGGCGGAGATGAGAGAGCGTGTGAAGAGCAGGAAAAAGCAGAAGAGCCGAGAGTCTAGGCCGAAGGTGGAGGAAGCGAAGGAGGAGGAGCCGGCCTCTGATTCCGACTCGGATGGAGAGCATGAGACTGCCGATAGCACCGAGGAGCCCTCGGAGGATCGGTATCGTCCCGTACAGATATTTTTCTGCAGTCGCACGCACTCGCAGCTGGCGCAAATCGTGTCAGAGCTGCGCAAGACCCCGCATGGCAATTGGGTGAGATGCATCTCCCTGGGCTCTCGCCAGCAGCTGTGCGGCAACCCCCAGGTGCGGCGTCTGAAGCAAGTTGGGCTGATGAACGAGCGCTGCTTGGAGATGGCCACCCAGAAGAAATCCCAAGCGAATCCCAGCAAGAAAAGTCGCCTTAGCGAAGCAGAAACATCCAGCCAAGGCAGATGTCCGTTGAAGACGCAATCTCTGGTGGACTCCCTCAAGGACTTGGCCCTCAGTGAGCCCCTGGACATTGAGGAATTGGCCACGGAGGGTGCAGCCTGTGCGGCCTGCTCGTACTATGCCTCCCGAGCTGCACTGGATCAGGCCCAGCTTATATTGCTGCCGTATCAGCTGCTGCTTCAGAAATCCGCCCGCCAGCAGCTAGGCATCAATCTCAAGGGAAGCGTTCTTGTTGTGGACGAGGCACACAATCTCCTCGATAGTTTGGCACAGCTACATGGCGCCGAGATCAACAAACGGCAGCTGGAAAGGGCCCGGACCGAGATCTCTGCCTACAAGGAGCAGTTTCAAAAGCGTTTCAGCACCAGGAATCTCTTAAAGATCAACCAGCTCATCTTCATAGTCAAGCGGCTGCTGAAAATTCTGGAGCAAGCAGAGTCCTCGAGGATGCTGCGTACCTACGAACTGACCGCCGAGGGTGACTTCTTTAACATTGATCTCCACGAGCTATTGGAGTTCTGTGCGCGTACCCGTTTCGCACGCAAGGTGCAGGGCAATGCGGCCAGGATGCAAAGGGAGCCGCAGCCCAGCGAGAATCAACCGCCTTCGGCGCGAAGTCTAATACTCCAGCGATTGACCAAGGAGCACGAGGAGAAGGAGAAGCCCAAGCAGGGCAAGAGGAAACTGGAGGATATGCAGGAACCTGCAGGGGAGAAGAAGGAGCCCACAGTGAAGCCCCTGCTGGAAGTGGCTCCCTCGCCGATTAGACCTTTCTTGGCCTTTCTTGAGACACTCACCAGCGATGCGGCGGATGGTAGGATACTGCTTGATCCTCAGGGAGGAACCTTTAAGTATTTGCTCCTGGATCCCGCTGAGCAATTTGCTGAGATCCTCCAAGATGCCAGAGCAGTAAGTTTGCTTTAAATTAATCCATAACTGAATGTAAAACTCGCCACATGGTGAGTGGTAAGCCTGATGTCCTGCTTGCTACGCTGCTGCAAGGAGTTGAATTTTTAAAACAACCCAAAAAAAAGCAATGTATAGTTTTAGAGCCTTACGAAAAGCAGTCCTTGTCCAAGGACCTTTTCAAAAGCAGTGTTAGCTGGTACAACCTGGTAGGGAACTTGGCTAGAATTTAGCAGGGGAACAGTACAATTTGATCGGTTGGAGTCTTCACTTCTCTTATTGGGGAATCCAATTGGACTTCGTTTTTCAAATGTAAAATTAAATTATTTAATTACGTAAAGAGGAAAGTAAACATACAAAATTGTGTAAAAAAATAATAAGCCTTATAAAGAATTAGAGATTATTAAAGATATAATTATTTAAATTTAAAAATAAGTCCCAAAAATAAGAACATAAATACATATTTGATAAAATGTTAAAATTTTACTTTAAATTCAATTTTATATTTAGGCGTGAATTAAAGGCTAAAATATTTAATGTTATATTGTAAGTAAAATTAATATTGTAACATTTAATTGTTAAAATTGGTTTGTTGAAAATTGTTAAAAGAGATTGATATCTTTCTATATAATTTAATAGTGTGAATTATTTAAGAGTTTATATATTTGTGTGTAAAAAATCTAATTTATTTTGTTTAATCGTATATTAAATATGGGTTTTAATGTAATTATCATTTACATTCAAAATAATTTTTTTGTTATTATATTCATATTTAAAGAAAAAATATAGCAAGCCCTAAATGTTTCCTTTTACTTTTAATAATTTCTTTCGGAACCTCGTATAATATTTATTTTAAAGTATTTTCCCCTGCTAGTTCCCGTCGCCATAATAATTTAGAAATCAATAATAATTCGAACTTATCGGGGCGTCTGCAATCTGCAAGAAAGAACTCAAGTCCTTCGTCCCCCTGCCATAAATTGCAACTCTTTTCAGCGTGGCTAATCGCTGGTGGCATCGGTGCAAAAGATACAGATACAGATACAGATACTGGGCCTGGGCTATTGGATATATCATCGATTATGACGGAGGAAGTCCGCCCATTAATAATAGAAATTATGGGGCGTTCACAAGAGGTTGTCGTGACAGTCGCCTGACATTTATGCAACTTTATGAGGAGGACAGGACGGGCGCAGGATATTTTTGAGGAAGACTCAACCCCGTCCTGCGACACTGACAAGTCTATCAATTTTTCACACACTCCTCAAGACGAAGGGCTCAGCTCACTCCAAGGGTTGAGTTTTGAATTTTATATCCTTTTTTCGGTGGGCATGCAAAATGCCCATTGCACAATTTTTAAAATTGTTCATTTTCATTTGCGCAATTTTCCCTCACTCACAAATGCATATCGAAGGCAATAATTTCTGACAATTTGCGAAATTTAGAGGTCTTAAGTTACAACCCTTTGTTGCTCTTTTTTTTCGTATCTAGGATCCTTAGAGATCCTTGTATCCCTGTATCCCTGTTGTGTATTTGCAAGTTTTCAACTGTCAATTTGAAATGAAGAAAAGTTTTGACAAGATTTCTGGTATCTATTTCAAGTTATAGTTTTTCTCTAGCCTCTTCCCGGATTCGGATTCCGATTCCTGACTTTGTGTCCTGTCATCTTTGGGTGACAGCTCAATCGGGACATTGTCTTGTCCTCGGAAAATGTCTTGCGTCATGCCTGGGCAGCCGCAACAACATGAGGAGGACACCTCTAAAGGATGTCCTTGAGATTTACATGACAAGTCTGGGTAGTCTAACTTCCTCTTTTTCCACTTTTTTTAAGGACGAATCCAGCGAGATTCCCCTGTCGGACAGATGTCAATCAAATGAAATTAACACATCATCATCATTGAGGAAGGTAAGTACTGTAGCTGACCTGGTCTGGTTTCGGTTTCGATTAGCCTAGGTTTTTATTTTTCCAGTTTTTCACTTTTCACATTTCTATTTTTCGAATTTTTCAACATTTCCCAAGCCCAGGGGGAACCGCCTCTCAATTTTTCCCCCAGCTAAGTCGCATTAGTCGCTAATGTTTTGCTAGCGATTTTCGCTTTTCGCGATTATTGCGGTTGACTGCCTTTCTTTCTCTGCTTTTTTTTTGCCCAAGGCTGACCCGTAATGGGATTACATAATATCATTAATCAGTCGAGTGAAATTGAAATCGAAATCGGCATTGAAATCGGAAGACCATATGACATGTGCCACCTTCTAGTCTATGGAGAGAGAGAGAGAGGCATCAATGTTAGAGAAAGGTACTTACAACGGACACCCCCGATTCTAAAAAGGACACGCGCTATGCCGTTGCATCTGTAATTACGTAATTAGGAGATAGGGAAAAGGACCAATACCGATACTGATACCGATAGATAGCTGCACTGACCATCGCGTATCGCGCACTAATTGCATTAAATTGTCCAACACAATGGCCAGATGACGCTCTACCGATACCATATCATCCCACACCATCCCAGGGAGCACTATATCTACACTACACTCATCCCATCCCATCCCATCCGAATCGAACTGAAGCGATGTCCTTTTTTATGTTTTATTGATATTTGCTTAGTCCTGCGTGCAAGTTGTCTCAACTATGTTGTTTGTACTTTTTGATGGGTCTAAAACGAATGCATTTTAATTGGACATGCACCGCATTGTAATTTCTTAATTTCGAGTCCTGCAATCCTGCTGAGGGGGGTGGGTGGTGGTATCAAAGGTCCTGTCGAGGGTGGGTTTTGTCACGGCTGTTTAGAGCTATTATTTTATTAGGGCCAATACTTGATGGACAGCAATTCTTCAACCCATGATTGAGTTGTCCTTGCTAAAATATTTATATAGTTTCCATAGGATATAGAATTAAGTGGAATTTATTGAGGTTTTAGCTAACTAAATCATGACATAGATGTTTTTGCATTTACAACATTAGAAAGTAGTATAAGCTTTAACTTGATTGCTTTCTTTTGTAATATATTAGAATTAGAGTTTGTTTTTCAGTATTAGCTCAATGAATTTAAGGACTTTTAATGATTTTTTGTTTATAAATTTAAGATACTTTAAAGGAGGTTATCGATATTAATGCTTGCTAAACTAAAATCAAATAACATCATATTTTCTTTAGTTACTATATAATAACGACCCTTGGCCACAGGTTTAAAGCCTTACTTTGAAATATAATTAGAATAAAAGTAATGTTTAATCAAAGTTTCATATGTTAAAAATATTTCCAACTCTTCTTGGACAAAAAATAATTATTTAAACTGTATAATATATATTATTAATTACCCTGTGTCCTGTCTATACCCCGCTGCTGCTTCCCAAAGTTTATTAAATACAAATTATGCAATAACAAATAACAATAACATCAGCAAAGAGTCAGGCGAAGGGGCGCACATATATCCTGCTCAAATAATTGGCCAGGACATGCACTATATATATATGTGCATAAAAAATACAGAATATGGAAATTACAAATGATTGACAAGCGATCTTCATTCGATCCGATCTGGCAGAAGATCCCCTCCTGGCAGCACCACTCATAAATGATGTTTTGCAGGACTCTCGGAATTCATAAAAAAAGGAAACATTTCCCACGTAACCGAAGAAGATGGCTAGAGGAAAAAAAAAGAAAACCTCGCACCCCCCGGTGAAGAAAGGAGCAAGGAGAAAGCAATGTTGTTGCAACCATAGCTAACAAGCCTGTAATTACTCGCCGGCAAAGATTGTTGTTGCCGTGTAACACCTTAATGGACTTAATGTCAGCCAGGACTTCTGCCTGAGTCCCGAGTCCTGAGTCCTGACAGTCACCGTCACACCGTCACACTGTTACCCCCTGAAATTTGCATAAAAAATCCAAAGATCCGACAAAGCCAAGATGAAAAATGAATAACGAAAATGAAAATGAAAACGAAAAAAAGAAAAGGTGAATCCTTTCGATGATATTTTGACATGACATCGTGGAAATATTTATTTGTCATCGACTTGACAAAGGGATTAGGCGCAATCATATTTTACGGACATGAAAATCCATGTTGCCCTGTCCCGGAATTAGCATAGGTCCAAGGATCAAATATTTTGACACCCCAAGTTCCAAGACCGGAGTCCCGCAATCCCGAAATCCCTTTTCGCCAGGACACACAAAGACAGTTCAATTATGATTACAAAGGGTTGAGGGTTATAGTTGCAGTTGGAGTTTTGAGTTGGAGTTGACCAGGCTTACATAACCCGAGCAAAATCTGTAATAAGTCGCTTAAGGAACTCTTCCCGGTAATCCTACCATCTGCTGGCTCCTTGGCCTTTCTTAGTTATTATTTGTTATCTTGCCTTTCATATCGCAGTGTCCCTAAATGCAGCAATTAACCTAAAGACTGCCTTCAAGGAGCAGCGGAAGAAGGGGAAGTCAGTCGAGCGCGGAGTCCGAGGAGTCCCAAAGTCCAAAGTCAGCGTCTAAGTAACATATTTGTACTTCCGACAATTACCAAAGGCCAAAGGAAAAGGATCTTTTGGGAAGGGAGACAGACTACACTGGCGGGGGAGTAATCGCATTCGTAATGATTGCGGTCACCTTTCCCAGTTTCTCAGGGTCATAGCTGGCCAAGCACACTCATGATCATGATCATTCTCAGCCCATGAACTTCCTGAACTTGGAATTTAAATAGCTGTCTTACCTCTTGAAAAGAGATCTAGGAATGTCTCAAATAATAATAAAGAAAAGACTAAAAGTCTTCTAACTTTAACAATATATTAAGATGTAAAATTAAAGCTCTTCTTTAATTAAACAAAAAAGAAAAGTACCTAAAGATCTGTAACAAACCTACAGGACCTTCTTCTTAACTTCCCTGCTCTTATTAAGTCATACCCAACAATAGCAAATTTCAAATCGAATCGAATCAAAGCAACTCCCGCTTCTGTCCCAACTTCATTTCCACTTCCACTTCCTTGCTCCTTTTCCCTTATTTAGTTTAAGCAAAAAAGGATAATAGCCCAAGAAGTCCGAGCGTCTCTAATCCCGGTAGCCAGCGGTTGGCGCAGCTGCCTCATCCTGCATCCTTGCGTCCAACCACCGCAACACCAGAGTTGCTCTAATTTAGAGAACGTCTCCTCCGTTCCTGGGTTCTTGGACTTTCCTTTTGGGTAATTTTTGCACAAGGATCTCGGGAATTGGTATTGAAAATTGCAATTGAAAATTAAAATTGGCTCATATCCTGGACAAGGATGAACGGTGAGTGGACAGATCCTATTGTTGAGGTCCGGCTGCCGGACTTTAGGGTTCTTCGGCACTTTCACGCTTCTTAGTCCTTGGGCACAGCGTGTGGAACGTGAGCTAGGAGAGAGAGAGGGTGGGGTTTGTCCAAGGACGAGCCAAGGACCCAAGCCAAAACAAAGCCAGAGGCCAATAAATCTGCTCAACGATCGGCCACGCATCGGCAACGCATCAAAACTGACAGGCCGACCATTGTCCGAGTCGAGAGCTCGTGAGCCGAACAAAGTCGCCGGCAAATGTCCCAATTTGAATCGGATCCTGGGGCGCAAAAAAAAGGATATATATATATATATATATATTGATCGCTGTTGGATCATAAAACTGGAGGCGCCAATTGCGGTTCACCAAAGGCTTGCCAAAAGCAGCGGGAGTGAGGAGCCACCTACTACTTTTGGGCATAAATAAATTCAAGGATCAAGGATCAAGGTTGGGAAGTGCCTTGAAAAATATTTGTATATATTTTTTAGGTATATTTTACTTGAGAATTTGTGTGGGTTTGTCTTGTAATATATAAATAACTAAAAATATAGGCGTAACTTGAGGCCTTAAATAATTACGAGAAAAAGATAACATAGCAGAACATTTAATCCTTTTCTGGAATTTATTTAAGGACTAAAGTAAAGTATACTATATTATATCTTTTAATGGATATTATACTTATATATTTTGAAGGATGAAATACCTGGTAATATATAGTACAAAATATAATCAATATATATAATATATATTATCATACAATAATATCTATATTTTTCCCAAGTTCAACTCAATAAGAAATCCATGTAAATAACTTGTATAAAAACCAATTAAAATTCCCTCAAAATAATAATAATTTTCAACAAAACTTAATGATTTATATTGTGCATTATAAATGTCCTTTAACTCGTAAAAACTTTTGTGTGCAAAAACCATAAAAATTCGCATATACGAGGTCAGTCTGTGGTCATCTCTCGTGGGTCATCCTGCCGTGGGTCATCTCGTTGGTCATCTCGTGTGTCCTCCGCCCATTTTTATCACTTTTTTCCTAAACCAGAGACATCTTCATTGGGACTTTCTCTTTTTTTTTGTTTTTTCCCGGACTATCCCTAGTTTTTTAAGTGGCCTGTTGAGATGCTGAATGCCTCCCCATTCGGAAGGACACACCCAGCAATTAGGCAAAGGGAATATGGGCCCGATCCATTTGGCAGCAGCTTCTTTTCGTCCTTGCTGCTATCCTTTGAGTGTGCACAAAACTGTCGCACATAAATTTTAATTAACTCTGTTTTTAATTGTTGCAAATTTATGTTCGAAGGCGCTCGCTTTGCTCGGGGCGCGGTCCTCTTGCAAATGGCAAACGAACAAACCGAAAAAGGGATCAAGGATCTGTCTTTGGATTGCTCAAGGATCCCTTCCTTTTTCTTTTTCTTTTTTTTTTTTGCGGATGCGATTTCTGCTCTAAATTATTTGCAATAATTTCAGTCCACTTCCACATCTCCCCCCCTCCCGGCGCATCCTTTCCCTGCAGCCTCCTTTTGTTGTAATTTACTTCTGCTTGTTGGACGCTGCAGACATCTCCCGTCGCGCATCCTTGTATCTGTATCTCAGGCCAAGCGATTGCATCTGTAGCTGTAGATGTATCTGTATCTCTAGCTGTCTCTGTAGATGTATCTGTATCTGTATCCGTATCTGCTCTTCATTATGGCATCCATTGTTTCGCGCTGTCTGCCGCATCCTTTGGGCCTCGTGTGTTCCAGTTTGCTTCCCTCTTTGCCTTACTATTATTATTATTATTTTTTCAGGGTCACATCTGAGTCTGAGTCTCAGACTGAGGCTGAGGCTGAGTCTGTGTCTCAGCTCGTCCTGGGTTTCCTTTTGCGAATCTCCGAAATTGTCTCGTATTTGACAGTTGACAGTTGGTCGACTTTTGAGTTGGAAAGTTATGAGCATAAACATGATATTTGCCAGGGGGCCCTGGGCCCGTTATTGCCATTTTTGCCATTTATCCTTTATGTTTCTGCCAACTCACTGTTTCACTTACACACTGAGAGTGGTAAAAAAATAAAACTATATATACAATATACAAGAAAATGAAAAAAGGAAAGGCCTCTAATGAGAGCGTAAAAAGTTATGGAATCAATTAATCATTTTCGCTTCATTTATGATTTAATAGCATTTTTTTTTGGCTTGTGGGTTCCGCAAATGTTCCTCCTGCTGATGATGATGATGATGATGATCCTGGCGGCCGCTAATGAAGTCGCGATTTTCTCCCCCCTCTACCTTTCCCTATTTTCCCTTTTTTCGCATATTGGAAAATGCTTTCCCCTTGCCTTTATGCAAAACGCAAACAAAGCCGCGCGACAAACATTTGATACACTTTAGGCATTTTTCTCTCTACTCTCGACTCCTGAATCCGAATCCGAATCAAATATCGATAAATTCCGCAAACAATGCCCGACATCGGGGCATTAATCACAGACATCGGCCATAAAGCAGCCCTATATCTGCATGCGAGTTCATTATAATATGTAAGCACACAATCAGGAACAAAACATACATATATGCAAAGGCAATTGGAAAAGGGCTATGAACAAGGTACAAGGCTGCGAAAAGGGGAAGATTAGATCGGAGAGAGGATCAAGTGGCTATATAATAATAATATCCCAAAATCAGAAGGGTTAGATCATAGTCTTTAACACTTTACTAAACGAATTAACCACAATAAACATTGTATATTAAAGATTTAAATTTGAAATCTTTAAAAGTTCAAAGGAAAAATAGTTGGATTTCTTTGAAAAGATATTACTAAAATCGCATTAAGTTCTTCAATTGAAGAAATTAAATTTAATAAATTTAAAATTCTTTTTAATAACAAATGGAAAAATAATATATTCTTTTATATCAATATTAAACCTCAACAGAATATATATAGCTTTGAAAGAGAACTACCACATAATTTACCAATATCCTATAAGAATTATCCACAATAAACCTTTTTAAAGGCTAGAAACTTTTTAATATGAGATATAAAACTAATATTCTCTCTTTATTCAAACAAAAGTTTCTATAATATCTAATAAGTTCCCCTTCTTAATAGTAAAAACAAATAACCTTTCTATAGAAATATAAATCTTATTAGGGACACACTTTATAGAAGGAAAGTGCCATATGAATGATGATTTTCTGCGGCTTTTCAACAGCTTCTTAAAAGTTTTTAAAAATATATTATAGTAATATAATATGGCAGCTTAACTATTCCAGAATATTACAAAATATTCCCCTACAAAACTGATAGATAAATGTAAAACCATGTCACTATTTTTTTGCAGTGCAAAAACCCTTTCAAAACTAGCCTGAAAAAAACGGTGCAACACTCGCTGGATTTGCAATAAAAAAAAGTGGCCAGCATTTAGCCACAGGCCATTGAGCAATGCAAATTTCCAAATCAGGATCTGCAGGATTGGCAGGATCTGTAGGATGTGCAGCAGTGAAAGAGAGAGAGAGAGCAAGAGTGAAAGTCAAGTGGCTCTTGGCAAACGCGCTCTGAGAGGGTAAATAAACAATGCAATTTGCATGGCAAGGATCTGTGATCGCTGATCGGTGATCCTTGCTGCCTGTCGCTCCCCGAGTCCTGTGTGTGTGCTCGTTAATTAAGCGTAAAATCGTCGTAAACTCAAATTGAATTTGAGTGGTTTTCCAGCAGTTCTTTATCCATTTACTATGCATGTTTTCTACATGTTTTCTGTGTGTTTTTTGTCCTCTTGTAAACCGCAGAAAATGCGAGGATTATGGTAATTTCCCATCTCTCTTTGGGCTACGCCTTGTTTGTCTGAATGCTCGTTAATCAACATATTAATCAACATCGTTCTATATATGTAAGTCCCTCATTTTCCTTCTTATTTTTCTTTCTTTTTTTTTTTCTTTTTTGCCCAAGGAAACTGTCTCTCAAAAACGCATTTAATCCTTTTGTGCGGCTATGTAAACAGCGATAACTCAACGCCACACAAAAAGGAGCCGCAGGATCTTGGAGAAAGGGATGTGTGGAAGAGTTGAAATATTGAGGGAAAAATTCCCTTAAAAAATTGGCAAAAATTCGCAATGGAACGAGGCAAAATCAATTAACTAACCCCTTTCTTGCAACCCTTTTGTAGGCTCTGATCAAGGATCGAGATAGTCTACAAAACCAAACAACTTTCACCGCAAAAAAAATAAGAGAAGGATATAAAAGAAAAATGCGAAAGGATAACGTGCGAAATATACGATGCTTGGCAAATGAAGAGATTAGAAAAAAGGATGCGAGACAGGACATTGGAAAGTAGATACGAAAGGAGATCCCAAAACGAGATCATCCACTAGATAACCACACAGATGATGACGATGATGGTCACGGATACTTTGAGTGATCGAAGGAACTCTGATGAGTTCCATCACTTGAACAGCACTTAGTACACATCACTTGAGGATCACTCAGGCGGAGGGATCAGTTCATCATCACCAGGACACAGCTGGTCAATGGAGGGGACTCCACACATGTGGGCAGTTATCCTTGATCTTGTCATCAGTAAATCGATCTATATATTACTTGTTCATATTTTTAAGGATATTTACTAGACTCCTTGAAGAGTCAGATGTTTCTATATCTAAATACATTTTGTGGGAAAGAAAACTGTTACTGTATTTTGGGTTTTCCAGCATAGTTATAAATTACGAGGCTTTTCAATTTAATATTTTCCTAAAGGAAATGATATATAAAACTTGATAACTCGATAATGATCGTACACAAACTTTAACCTCACAACTGACGCTAGTAAAGGCTCTTTTCCAGGACATTTCGTAACGTTTTTCTAATGCTTTTCCCCCCCTCAGGAAGTGCTGAAGTTTTTCAATTAAAAATAATATAAAAACTGCTTTTGCGGCTGCTAAAGAGCCGCAATTAATACTGATATGAGACAAGTGGCCAGGAAGTGAGCAAAACCTGGCTAATTAGCTTGGGTTTCCCCGTTCCTTTTCCCTAATCATTTTCCCTTCTTCCTGGCCAGCAAGTGCGTCGCCGAGTTGCCTGTTGCTGATGGACGAGCTCAATGTTGAGGCATTCAAATGAGGGGGGAAAATAGGAGGAAACAACAACAGGACGGACACCAGGAGGGACACCAGGGTGAGGGTGAACCAGGAGGAAGCGGACCACGATCATTTCCTTGCTCAAGGGAAGGAAAAAGCAGGATAGTCCCGATTCCTATCTAGATGTCATTTTCGTGAGTTGGTGCACTGGCTGAGTGGCTTCGAGGAGGGGAAAACTGTGGGAAAGGATGAGTTTGCTGAGGAACCAGGAATAATGTAATATATATTTCACAAACAAATTATGAGACATAAAAGCATAGGAAAATCAGGAAAGTCAGGAAATCAATGTATTATCCTAGGGGAAATATGTGATCTAAACAAGTTTAGATAAGATTTAAGGTTTAGATAACTTATATGTAGATCAAGAACTAACTAAAGGTCTAGGTATAAATATGTTTGGGATATATCTTAAATTTCAAAATAAATATTTCTTGCTTCTTAACCAAGACTTTTCACTAGGAAAATCTCATAAACTTTATAAGACTTTATGTTAACCATAAACTTTACAAGACTCCTGCCTTGAAGCTTTTCTTTCACCTTAATCAAAGTTAAGAGCCGCAGAGATACTCCACATCTAGAAGATACTTCTCTGCAGAAGATACTTTCTATCCAAAGATGCTTCTTACAGAGACAGAGAGAGAGGGAGAGAAAAAGAGAGTGAGACAGACCTTTGAGAGAGCGTCGAGTGTCATATGCCTGCCACTGAGGGCTGCGCTTGCGCAACAACCCCTAACTCCCGGCAATACCTCGTCAACCCTCTGGCTCCTGGCTCCTGGCTATGACTCCTGCTGCTCCTGCCTCTCCTCTCTCGACTCCCGACTCCTGGCGGGTATAAAACACCGCCGTTGCCCCGTACCGCTTCAGTTTGTCAGCCAGAGCCGTCGAGAGCGGACACAGAGTCCAAAGCCATTCCCTTTTTTTTCCCCGGAGTCGAAAGACGAGAGAGTTAACCAACCAAAAGCAAAAATATGCTAAAGTGGACAGCATCGGCACAGCGCCTAAACGAGATGCAGCTGGACCAGGATGCGGCGGAGGGTCGCCAAAGGAGGAGACAGCAGCGACGTCATCGACGTGCCACCATTGCCAACAAGGAGAACGTGCCCGATTATGGCTACACTTCCACGCCATTGGTGGTGATGTCACCACTGCCAGGAGTGTCACGCCTGCGCAACAGTCCTTTGGTCCTGGCGCCACTCAGCGATATCCGTAATGTCACACCAGAGGCAGTGGCTCCAACGGTGACGCAACGTGTCCAGAGTGTACGTTATGCCACCACCTTGCCACGCTTCGCCGAGGACTATTCACCCAATGGAGTGCTCATGCCGGGTCAACATTTGGCTCTCAGAGGACTTGCACCCTTGGATCCCTTCCTGGGACAGCCGCAGCGATATATGGCAGCGACGGGTTTGAGGGAGACCAAGCGGAAACTGGATGCGGATTTGGTGGCCACCATGGAGGAGCAACCAAAAGCAACTTCAGCTCCCGTTCCCACTCCATCACCAGTTCCTGCTCCACCTACAGTACGTCCCACTACACCACAGCCAGCATCCACGCAGATGGGTGACCAGACGCTGGACCGCTTGATAGATGCCATTCTGGACTCTGCCTGCAAGGCGGATGCCAGTGCCAAGAAGAAGCCACGTCGCTGCCGTTCCACCTTCAATCTGCGACGTCGCACTCTGGTCAAGCAGCAGCTGGATGCGGATTGTGGTGGTCGTCCGGAGGTTCTGTCGCCCTCCTATGCACCCGGAGATGATCCTGCCAGTGATCTGAGCTTTGGCATGATGCCAATGATGCCACTGACTATGACAACACCCGAACCGGCATCGCCTCTGGTGAGGATACCACACCAGGTGCTCGTCCAACTGCCCACGCCAAAGGTCACAGTGGCACAGGAAAAACTGGGCGTTGGAGACAACACTTTCTGTCTGGAGACGCCAGTGAGGAGTCTGAAGAGGAGCCGGGTGGCTGCCAAGGAGGAGGTTGCCAAGGAGTCGCCACTCAAGAGATACAAGGTCGATGAGCGCAACTACTTTGAGGTGGGACTTGCACTGCCATCGTCCATATACGTATGAGAAAAGGGAATTTCATAGAGAGATCCTGTCAGGAGATCCCTTTCGGGAGATCCTTTTCAAGAGATCCAGTCAGGAGAAAAAATAAGCTTATGAGAGAAGAGGAGCAGCCAAGAAGCCAGCTGACAAACGGGGGGAAAACGCTTAACTATGACGCTTAACTAGTTCCTAAGTCCTTTAACTAAACCCTTAAACCCAACCTCTGTACATACTTTATCCCTTTAGTTAATCGAATTATTTATTTCTAGTATTTAATTTCCCTTTTTTTTATGCTGCTGTTATGTAGTTTTTGTGTACGCAACAATTTTTTTCCATTATTTAATTTTATAACAATTATTTATTATTAGCCTAAGTGAACAATTTAGCTATACACTTTTTTTTAATATCAAAATAAATGCAAAGAAATCAAAATAATTATCTATTCTTTTGGGTTATGGGATTTTACATTTAATATATATTATCTTTGGACATATCTTGGGAAATTGAATAGAATAGTAAGGCTATTCAAAGGATCTTGTTTAAGAAGTTGTTATATACAATTTCTTAAAGTTTCTTTTTATACTACATCATGAACTTTTTTAATTGGATTTGACTCAAAAGCCAAAAGTCAGTAAAATAATTATTAATAAATAAATAAAACAAGTATCACTTGAAAAATTAATCCTATTATGATCCAAAGATTTACAACAGAAGCATTAAATGTTAGATTTTGGTAACGAACTAATGCTCTGGATATTTTTAATGGCAAAAATCAATTGTAAATTGATTAAGATCAATATTTTTCCCCTCTAGTTTTTGTAATTAAAGCAAAGACAATATTCCAGCAAATATATTATAACAATGTTATTGTTTATCTTATAAAGAAGAAAGCAAGCTACATCTGTAACACATTTTGTAACATTTGTAACAAAAGTACATTTCAAATCGATTTAAATTAATATTTTACCACCTCTACTATTAGTATAATATTTTCTTTTAATAATATTACATAAAGAAAGGAAAAAACATCTGCGGTCAACTTCCTTGTTCTAGCTCGTGTCCTGTCCATATATATATACAGATATATTTATACAGTTGCTTGACCAACCGATTTGCTTTGCTTTTCCAGGCGACCAAAACAAACAAGGAAACAAACACAAGGAAAACCCGGCTGTGAGACAGGTTGAATAGCCGTCAGACAGGTACACACGGGCCAGGATCAAGCGGATGAGCGCGGTCCTGTGACAACGCCCCCAGGAGTCAGCAAAAGAGATACACCTACAGATACAGATACAGATACAACAGCTGGCCAACAGCCTCATTGTAGCTCGTGGATACAAAGATACATGGATACAAAGAGAGAAAAGAAAACACATAGCCTCAAAGGAGATGCTTCAGTGGCTATTTCCAAACTAGAGGTGGATCTTTTCTGTAATATCTATACAGATAAATTTAATCTGGTATTTTATTAACTAATTTTTGATACTTAAAGTAACTCTTTGTATCTATTAAAATGTTTTTAAAGGCTTCCGTAAATATAACTACCTAAACCCACCCTTTTCAAAGCTCTGACAATATTAAAAGCTTAAAGTAATCCAACCGCGGCAGGCTTTTATATTATATATATAATTATAAGCCTCTTTTTGGTACTTCAATTTAGTAAACGATCATGATAAAGTGTGATACAAAAAAATAGGGTTTGATTAATAAAATACTCGTGAAACCAGATCAAAACCAAAAAGAGTTGGAACAAAGTAAATTTTCCTGCTTTTCTAGATTGAAAATATAAAGAAATCCTCCTATAAGTATATATATTTTATGTCTCCTACCAAAATCTGGCTAGTTTTTGCCTAGCCAGGAGCACCACTGATCCTTGTCGCAGGACACTTGTTAACACTTTAACGCCCTCGCACACACGCGTTTTTGGCACCGTAATTCGATTTGAGTGCGGTAAGGGTTTCCAAAGGGATACACAAGACCCATGCCAGGATACCATAAAGTATATGTTATGTAGAGAAGTCAGAGAGAGATCAGAGAAGTTAGAGAAAAGACAGCAGTGGAAGGAAGGAAGGAACCCGCTTAATCCCGCTCAAGATCCTGTCCGATGCAACCTGTCATCGCCTCGCACATTCCTGTGGGCTTGTCCCTAATTTGTAGACCATTTAAGACTGCGATGCGTTAGATAATTGAATTACTTTTTATTGTTCCATATTTCCTGGCTTTCCCCGTATTTCCCCCTGCTGGCTGCACTTGCTCGAGATGGGATCGCCAGCTGTGCTCACCCGCATCGTTAGACCAATTTCCTAATGTCGCCAGTTTTGGGTCACGCCCCGTCTTAAGCCCCTACGGGGAAAAACCCTTTTCTTTACCATTTACCATTTACCTTTTGCATTTGCATTAACATTTCTTAGTCCCCGCTTCCGTTTCTTGAGCTCTCCTGCCGTTGCGTGTCACTTGGTTAATCGATAAAAATTTAATTAATTGCTTGTACAAGTGATAAAAAACAAAAGGAAAAACTACAAAACAAATGGTACGTGAGAACAGCAGTCATGGGGGTTTTCTCTTTGGAGTTTTTCTTTTAACGGGTGTGGAAAATGGTCACAGCTGACGGGGCAGGGAAAACGAAGGGGTTAACTTGGGGGCTACTGTGAAATGGAAAATTCAAAGAAGATCTTGTCTATGAGCAGAGAAATCTATTAAACTATCCATCTAACTAAGCTTTAGATTTCCATTATTAACATATGTCTTTAAAGTGTGATTAGTTATTAAAAACACAAGTACAGGCTTCCAAAAAAGCTTAGATTTAACTATCAAACCATATTGCATAAATAAACAAGCGTTTATCAATAAATATGCCATTTGGGCTATTTTTAAGATGTAGTTAATATATTTCCTGAAGTAAATATATTTTTACTCTAACAAATATAATTTTAATAACCATATTTTAGCATTTCCTTATTTAATAAACGAAATATTATTTGATGTATCATTATACAAATAGAAATGTGATTGATTTTTAATAGTTTTAAATCACACATCAAAATTTTAGTCAGAAGCTTAAAACTAAGTGAAGGAGTAATTTCCGACCCTATAAAGTATATATATTCTTGATCAGCATGAACGGCCGAGTCGATCTAGCTATGTCCGGGAGAAAAACAATTTTGACGATTTTTTTTAACATTTTATAAGGGGTTACATCGTTAAAATGTTTAAAAATTAAAAAAAAAAAAATGCAAAAATTAAAATAAGATGAATAGAGTATGCAGATTTATTAACATAATAAAAACTAGCATAGAACAGCTTTCAGAATTAAAATTAATGCTTTTTTGCCTTAGTTATGCGTTTTTTAAGCTTCGATCAAACGAAAAAAAAGTGTCATATACAAATTTGCCACTTTATCTATTTCCTTAATTTATCTCAAACATGACTTAATCTATCCTTCATATTAATCTTTTTAAGATATTAATTCATTTAATAACAAAACTGAATAAATTCCAAGTCAGCTTTTAAATAACTTAACTTGCTGAATGCATGTTTTTTAGCAAGTATAATCTGTATTTGTGTTTTAATTAAATCCCAAACAAAGCCACCAGTCGAGGCTATTAAATATATATATATATATAATAAGTAAAAGTACAATAATAAACCCCTGTCGCCCTTCGGCGATCCTTCATTATGCAGTTTAGTTAATCAACAGCTGTGGCCGCAGAAAGGAGGAAGTGCTGCGGCTGAAAAGGATTTCGAATACAGAATTAAAAACCGATCTTGCAGATCTCGAGCTCGGGGGCAGGACCAGATTTTGCCAGATGCATCGGCATTCGCGAATCCTTCCTCAGACTCAGACGCAGACTCCGACTCGTTCTTGTCCTTGTTCTGCTTCTCCTTCTGGTTTTCATTTTCATTATCGTTTATTCCGCTTATTATTTGCGGATGGTTGATTGACAAACACAAGACTGCTGCTGCTGCTACTGCTGCCATCGCCGCGGGCGAAATATATTTATTTTTTGGGATTTTGAGGGAACCTCCTTGGAGTCGAAGGCGAAGTCCTTAACTCGCGAATCAAATATTTTTCGCACTTGGCCCCGGGGGCAAGAAACTTTCTTTCTTTCTTTCTTTTCCTCCGGCAAGCTGCAAGTCACAATAAATACAGAGGAAACCAAAAACCAAAAAGAGAACCGAACCCAAGCAAGGGCTGGACCAAAAAAAAAGCTGGTAAGCCGGCTTAGGCCACATTTGTGTCCTGGCAGGATATACTGCCCCCGTCCCGGATGGAGGCCGAAGGTGTCCTGTCAGTGAGTGTGTTCCCAATAATTGCCAAATATTATGCAAACAATGGGCATCCAAATTGAAATCCCCGCTCTCATCGCCGCGTGTGGCATCGCACAGGATGCGCAGCACTCGCAAGGACTCACTGGCATTAATATTTAAATCCCGAGCAAGGGTGGTGGTGGCTTCGCATAATTATAATTCATTTTCCAACGCAAGCCCCTAAGAGCTGCTGCAATCTGTTAATGATAAACAAATTTTCCACTGCAATCCGTACAGCGGCGACAAATACAAAAAAAAAATTTCAACTGAAAGGTGAAGTGAAAGGGTTGCAACATTTTGTTGCAACGCCGCATGCGTGTTGCCATCGCCGCCGGCGAATTAAATATATTTAAACAGAGGGGGAAAATCAACGAACCCAAGAGCAGCGAAATGAATTTTGCAAGTCCCTTAATTAGCTTAGCGATCCCAATCGCAATCGCAATCGAAATAGGAATATATGTAGCATCCATCCATCCATCCCGAAGCGATGCGATCTGAACCCATGAAGTGGCCGCTCGAGAAGTGCGAAAGTCAAGAGTGCGGGACGGTTTCTTGCACAGCAAAAAATAATTAGCATATTCTGTGTTAATTGCTTCGATTTGTTGCCAAAATGGACAGCTAGGCAGATTGGAAATGATATATAAATAGATGTGCAGAAGTAGGTATGGTGCTGTCTCATACATTTTTGTTACATTTATAACTACAGTCCATAACTA